TGAGAGACCGCTGCGCTAAACGCATTTATTTTATTATTAAGAGATATTGTAGAGATGTAATATATATATATATATATTTGCTTGTTAAACGAATTCGCGCAGAGAAACGGAATTTAAAGCAGATCTCATTCTCTCTCTCTCTCTCTCTCTTTCTCTCTCTCTCGGAGCCTTCAACCGCGGTGATTCAGAATATTTCGCGGACGTGGAGCTTTCGTACTCGTCGCGGATCTCACGCGATATCCACACGCTTAGAGAGCGCACGGTCGCGCGCACACGGCAGAGACGTCGCGATAAACCCTCACGCATATGCGTACGTATGCGCGCGCAAAATAGAGAAAAAAGTAAAAACATAATTAGGCACAGTGCTGAGAGTAAACACCTGCGGGATAATGGCGGCGTTTCTCCGTTATCGTATCAAAGGATCGTCACTGATACGGTCACTGATACGCGCACGCGCGCGTGCGTCCGCTGTCGATCGTCTCGTCTCGTATCGTCTCGTTTCATTCCTCGTCTCTCGTCTCTCGTCGATGGATCTCGACAGCGGTGGTAGCGACGTGTTTGCACGGCATTGAGCTCGCTCTCTCTGCTCCCCGAGTTTCGATCCCTCGCAGTAGTGTGCGCGCGCGAGCGACAGCGAGCGTGAGCACCGGGGTTGCCGACTGCAGTACGAAGGGATGGAAGGACCTAGGGGGAGAGAGCGAGAGAGCACGGTGGTACGCAAACGCATTATTATGATTATTATCCGCGTAGCTGAATCGGTCGCGATCCTCCTCCCCCTCCTCCGCCTGCCCTCGCGTTCTTTCTTCCCTCTCGTCACTCTCTGATCTAGTTTCTCTCTCTCTCTCTCTCTCTCTCTCTCTCTCTTTCTCCCTCGTCTTTTTATTTCAGTTTTAATTTTACAATCTGACATTCCTCACGATGACACGTGCGTATATGGATCGGGCAGTCGTATCTCTTCGCTATTGTGGTAAGCTATGTCAGAAAACGGTTTAAAATTGGGTAGGAGATGGTAGGGAGGGGAGAAAAGAGAGAGAGAGAGAGAGAGAGAGAGAGAGAAAGAGAGAAAATCCGTTTGTTCAGCGCTCTCTTCTCGTTCGCTCTGTATCGCGTCGGTTCCGTAATTAATACGATATAGAGCGAGTGAGCGAGGTCGACACGCAAATGTACTTTATTACGTGTGAATTTATCGTATCGAATCGCTCGAGCGCGATGTTGAAAGTGTGTTAATAAATACAACCGAAATATTTCGTGCCGTTAACCGGAGCTAGAGTAAGCGCTACGATGGAGAATGAAAATTACCGAGTACCAATTACTGCTATCGCGGTAGACGGAAGATAGAACGCAGGGAGAACCGCTTAAAGCGCCTCGCGGCGCTAGAATAAAGTTTCCCCGGGGTCGCTCGGGGGAGTTCGGGCACGAGAACTTTACTTTTAAATCCGTCGAGCAACAGTCGCGGTTTTTAAACGAATCGCGGTGAATTATAACGTTTCCGCCCTCGTTAAGTCCCGAGAACTCCGTTCCGGCAAAGAGAAATTAATTAAACGGAGGCAGCCGTATCGAAAGGAAAAGGGAGAGAAAAAAAATCAGAGAAATTTAGATCGCGGTGAGAAGGCGCGGTGTGTTAATTAAGACGCGCAAGCCGCTCAGCAAAAATTCCATGTATTTAAGAAAAAGAGAGGGGAGAAAAGAAAAGGAAAGCAGGCGAAAAGGCGTGGCTCCCCGATGAACGTGCATGTATCTAAACGCGCTTAATCATCCGTGATATCGACAACCATTGCGCGAGTGTCACCCAAAGGAAAATGGATCGAATTTCTTCGCCGGTGTTATTCGACAGATCTTTTCGAAAATCAGCAGAGAGGAGAGAGAGAGAGAGAGAGAGAGAGAGAGAGAGAGAGAGAGAGAGGAGAGAGAGAGAGAGAGAGAGAGAGAGAGAGAGAGAGAGAGAGAGAGAGAGAGAGAGAGAGAGAGAGAGAGAAAGAGGGAAACAGTGAGAGTGCGAGAGAGAGAGGGGGGCGGGGGGAGGGATAGGATGAAAGCTACGAGCTAGCTAGGCGAGCGGGAGGAGTGTAATTTGCCTCTAATGCAGCACTCGACGTAGCAGCTGGCTCATCGGCCCTCTGCTTTCCCATTCGCCACTCGGCCGCAACCGGCAACAGTAGCGATAATAATAACAATACCGGTAACAATGCCAGGAGTGGCCGGGCATTGTAACACACCGCAGCGCGTTCACTCTTTCTCTCTCGCGCTCGCGCTCGCGCGCGAGGGGGGCCGGGTACTTGGAGTAACAATGCGAGCGCAAAATGGAGGGACCCATCTGCTTGTGCCCGTGCCAAAGAGACACACGAGGGAGAAGGGGTACTGGATGGTAGAGGAGGTGACGAAGAGGAGGAGGAGGGTAGAGAGGGTGGAGAGAGAGAGAGGGAGAGGGAGAGAGAGAGAGAGAGAGAGAGAGAGAGAGAGAGAGAGAGAGAGAGAGGGAGAGAGGGAGAGAGAGAGAGAGAGAGAGAGAGAGAGAGAGAGAGAGAGAGGGAGAGAGGATACGCTCGGAAGAACGAAAGATCGGCCGACGCGTGCAGCGAGAGAAGCGCGACGAGATAAACGCGTGTCACCATTTTTCTGTATTCTTGGCCGACCTCTTTTTCCACACGATGATATGACGAGGAACGGCTGTCGAGTCTGTACTTCTCCGTGGATGATATGTCGCGGAGCTGGATGATGTGAAGTACGCGTGGTATCCACACAGACATGAGCGAAACGCGCGACGTCGAGGTAGCCTCAGCAGCCGAAGGTCCAAAGGGTCACGAAGGGTTACAATTGTCATCCTGGTCAGCGTACGTACTTTGTTACGCGACACACCGAGAGAAGCGCGGAGGAGCGAGCGCAGCGCACGCCGCCGGCAAAAGAAGTGTGTAATGCCTCGTTCTTCGTTATTGCTCTCCCCCCCCTCCCCTCGCCGCGCGATTTCGGCGGTCGGTGGAGTGGCCTCTCTCGTTGGAGAACTCGTTATCGAAACTTATGTAGATAGTACGGCTCGCGCACGGCATTCGCCCCGGGCGCGCGTGAAAATCCTGGCTGATTGCAATCAGGCCTCTTCGCCGAGACTTCCGTGCTCGACTCGGAATCGATTCGTCGGCGACGCTCCAAGTGCGCCCCGAGAGCCTGCGCGTGCACGCTCGACTTCCGGTTTAAGGAAGCACTCCGCTTCCGCTTTCATCGCTTCCGATCGGACGAAAGGTTACTACCGCGTTGCGGGGGACCGCACTTATGTACATATTTTATCTCGCTTCCGATCTGTCTCGCTTTCGATCGCGCATCAAACACGCGATAAATACGCGATGCTTTGTGATTCTCAGGAGCAACATTACGCGTTCGCAACGTTCGTAACGTTCGTGTGAGAAAAATGGGACTTGGGATCATTATCAGCACGGCGTGATTTCACGTGCGCGACGCACAACGAGACTGTCGGAAGTTCAGCGAATAAAAGGAGGATAGAGAACAGAAATTTGAGCAACGTCGGTAGACGTCGAAACGAAACATTCCGCCGATGACAGACGGAGACAATTCCCGAACGCTCACTTTCGAAGGGCTGATAAGTAAATTGAGCCGCAGACGGAGAGACGAACGGTAGACGAAACGATAGACCGTATACGAGGGGGAGATTCGCCGCGCGTTACGCGCGCACGGACGCAGGATGCGGCCAATGAGCCACGCAACAATTATTTATTGTTGCCAGACTGATGCGCGCCGCGCCGCGCCGCGCCGCACCATGCCGCGTCGAGCCGGCCAGACCTGTCTGTCCAATGGAAATGAATACGCTCGTTAAAATTGACGTATGCCTTATCGACCGGCTTGACCAATCGGCTCGCCGAATGCCTCGGCAACTCCAGCGCGATATAACCGGATAATTGCGCGAAATATCTGCTGGCTCGCGAATTTACCTCGCGATCGGCTGGAATAAGGTAACATTCACGGTCGCTTCCAGTGGGAGTAACTTTTATTCGCTCGCGTAAATCCGTCGACCAAACGGATGATTGTTAATTCCGATACAAGCACAACGGACGTTATATAATTTTCGAGGGGAAACTGCGAGGCTTGAAATTGATCGTAAGTCTTTGGATATTCGGAGGTGTCTGTACGTAGGTCTCCATTATGGACGAACAAATGACCTCGTTTCGCTAATTTCGCTCATCGATGCACCACGTCGAGAGTGTGAAGAGGGAGAGAGAAGAGAACACGCAGTCTTGTCTCGTTGTGGAGGATCGAGAATGGAAATGCTCGGCGATCGAGATTGCATTTTGCACGTTGTATTTTGGAATTTGTTACCGGCACTCGCGCACTCGGGCAGCCGCGATTCGAGCTGCGCGATTGACCCTTTCGTATTCGACGGACGCGCGGAGAGTGCTCTTAAAATAGAAACTTTCGCGGCTGCAATAACGGCCGATTTACGTACGTTCGCTTTTTTCCGAATCGTTTCGAAATGCTGCGTTAACGACTTCGATAACGACCAACGCCCGCGCCACGAATCGATTCGATTGGTCGAGCGACGACGCGGTTACACCCCCGCGCGCGTATACCCGCCATTCGGCTTCCGCAATTAATCTCCTTTCAGCGATTAATCTTCGCTATGGTGGCACACGTTTGGTATGAACTATTATATTTATATGTGTCTATATATATATATATATGTGTGTGTGTGTGTGTGTGTGTGTGTGTGTGTGTGTGTATGTGTGAGTGTTTTATACACATGCAGATGGACGAGTCGATTTGACCGAACGCTTGTCGAATACAGTCGCACGCCCGCACCAAACAATTCCTGAATTCTGTGAAATCGCGAGAATATCCGAATATTCGCTTTGGCGATCATCCGCGTCGTTTTTCACCGCGCGACTTCCGCCGGAGAACGCGAGCCAGAGAGAGAGAGAGACTCCTCCGGATTCCTCGGCCGGTTGTTCGGCTTGATTATTCAAGAAGTAGCTGGCGCATCGGCACTGATTACGTACCTGAGTAGGCGTTAAGTGAATTAGGGACGCTAGGTGCTCTCGTTCGGGCGCGCTGAGGTACTTCTGTTGCTTGAATCGCCTTTCGAGCTCGTACACCTGGGCCTGGGTGAACAGCACGCGTCTCTTCCGTCTCTGGGCGAGGGGGAACTGCATCGCACCGACGCCCATGCCGACCCCGACCCCGACGCCGACGCCGACCCCCATTCCCGACGACTTGGTCACGTCGCCCATCGACTGGCCCACCGAACAGCCGGCCATGTTGGTCCCGGCGCCCGCCGCCGCGGCACCCATCAGCCGCGAGACTGCAAAACATATTGAGCAAACCGGAAATGATACTTCGCGATCTTTTCTTCATCGGTAGACTTATCTCTATATTGACCTCCCTATATTGACCTCGCATCCTCGCCGGATGCCGCGTTTCATTACGGATACGAATTTCTACAACGACGTAACATCCTTTAATCCCTGAGTTGTGTTCTCGTGTGAAGAAAATTCGCTTCTTCTAACCGATTTAATTTCTGTCGCCCAAGGACGAGACGAAAACTCGATTCTGAGAGCGGGAGAACTCCTGTTTCTACCTATAATCAATTGTCCTCATTCTTCTCAGCTGAGTCGCAGTGACAGATATCGTTTTTCTCGATGCTGAGTTTTCGTCTGATCTCCAGGGAGCAAAAATTCTGTCACACGAACCGGCTATTTTGTACAGCCACATCTGCACTGAGGGAAACACTCGATTCGTGCAACTAATCTTCTCTTAGCTGGGCACCTTTAATCGCTCAGTCATCTCAAGCGAGTTTCTTCTCAACGTAATCGAATATTTCGGCGGGTATTTTCGGTCATATTAAGAGATATCTTTTCCGACTAATGAGCTTCCATCCATCTCTATTCACTCACATCAACCGAAAATTCATTCCCAGGATGACCGATATTTGAAGGATCATAGAAAAAGTGCAAAAAGAAGCGTAAGAAGAATCCGGCAGTCAAACGGTCGACAACGCGACGAGTAATTTCGTCGTCGAGCGATATCTTTCGTAGGAATCAGTGCGATCGCAAGATGAACAAGGTGGAATGCCTGTCCCTCGGCCCCTTCAGCGCACATTCGAGAGATATGCGGATTGTTCGCGCGCGTAACTCGTGGTACGCCCCGAAGTAGACCGCGCGCGCGCGCGCGGCAAAAGTGGAATACTTAAGCGGTTCCGCGTCGGATCCACGAGGATGACGCTGCCGAGCGATTCTCTCTTCGAGTTCGAGCTACCGAAACCCGACGAGCGAGCGAGCGCGAGCACGGTCCATCCCTTGTCAGTTGGCGAAGGGCTGTCAGAAACGAACGCGCCTGGCCGCGGACAAAGAGAACGATTTAGGCGCGCGAAGTGCTACGTCACCGAGCGCGGGAGGTCCAAGACGAGGTACCCGAATTATTATGTCTGTGAGAACGTGTTCCCGTGAGCCGTCAGCGGAGTCGAGGGCGAGAAAGAAATACCACTCGAGCGCAGGAACAAATACCGTCAAATTTGTTTACCCCGAGGCTCCGCCGCGGCTCGGCGCGGTCGTTCCCGAGGAAGAAATCCACCGGGCCTCGAGGCCGGCTCCCGACGCTTTCGTTCGCGCTCTCTCCTACGGCCTACATCGAACGTAAGCAATATTGTATTTTCGCTGCGGCGGCGGCCTGACGAGTGCGCTGTGTATTTTTATCCCTCTCATTACGCGGATATCCGGAGCGCGGCTGTCGCGAGCACCGCCTACGCTCGCAACGGCCGACTCGTCGAGCAGCCGACTCGACTCACCCGTCTCTCTCTCTCTCTCTCTCTCTCTCTCTCTCTCTCTCTCTCTTCGCTCCGCTCGGACGTTTCGGATCGTGAGCCGAAGATGAAGCTGTGGCACGATGCTGCACGGAGAACCCAATCGCGGCTGATACCGCCGCGCCGCGCCGGCGAAATCAGCCTTGTTATGATGCTTGTCAATTTTCAACTTTCCGTCTTTCAACCGGCGAGCCGTGTTCGTTTGATCTCTCGTTTGCGTTCAAGAACAAGTTCAAGACTTGAGATTCACCGAGGCGATCGAGGCAAAGGCCGCCTGCATCCATTACGTACTTATCGTCCGCTTCAGTAGCCCCGGAGATAAGACTATCCGTATTACGCAATCAGATTAGTCGTTTGGTGATTGGAGGAACTGAATTTGTATTTGTTACATAGTGTTGAATGAAACCGGCCTTGTAAATCATTGGGGTCCGCCGCCACGGCGGTTATCCTGGCGTTATCCTCGTCAGCGGTCGTGTCGTGAACAATGAGTGCGCGGATACGGCTGACGGGGAACGGGACGATGTTTCGATGTAACTTCTGCCAATACACGAAAGGCGGATCCCGATGGGCGAACAACGCGCGTGCAGGAGCTCGTTAAATAAATTGACGTTTCTCCAACGGTCTATCCGGCCACCGACGTCGCGAGAGCCTTCGCCTTGCGTCGAACATCCTCCTCCTCCTCCCGCACCTCCTTCCCTCTCCCACCCTTCCTCCCTCCCTAGCCATGGCTTGGCGTCGTTTCGGAGCACAATAATGCTGCGTAACGACGGAGAGCAAACCTACGTCTCGATTTTTCGAATTCCAATTAGATATTAGATGGGTGACAGAAGTCGGAGGGATTTCACGCTCCGCGTCATGGACGCATCCTCCGCTCGCTTCGTTGCCTCGCGCGAGACGGACTCGCTTCGTTCTCCCGGCGAGTCATCGTAGTAATTATCGCGTTACGTCGATCGCGATTCACGTGGCGCGAGTTCGGAGGCTGCCTTGTCCGGAGGCTGGCTATAATACGTCGGCCGGTCTCGAGAGCGACGCGTTACGTCATTGCCGTCGTCGACGCGTGTATCACGGCTGATGCGTATGTAACGATACGATACGATTCGTAAAAAATCGCCGAGGAGAGAAAAAACGTCAATAGGCGTGCGCGCACACGACGAGAGACTTTTATAATGGAAGTTTATTAAAATGCTAATCGCGCACGGGTAACGCGACCGACCGATACAATGTGTCGTCGAGAGCTGTCGGGCCGTGAACGAAGGAGAGAGCGGTGTGTGATGCGGCGAAATAAAAATATCCTTAAATGCTCCGTCGCGGGGCAGGATCGGATTAATGATGGATACGCTTAGCGTTTCTTGGAACTGCACACGGACACGGTGTACGAGATAATTAACGACACGACGGGATAACGGTTCCGAGGCGGAATCGTCGGGCCGGAAAAAATTCGGTCCGGAACATCTGATTCCGCGATTGTTATTAAGCGGCGGATCCCGATTACCGAGGGAGGATCCCGATTGTTCGATTTCGCAGACATCAGCGACGGATAAATCGTCGAGTCGAAGGATCACCCGTTGGAGACGCTCGCCGAGCGACGGGTCTTTTGTACCCGCGCTTCCCCCGCGCGCTCCGATGAAGTTCGTCGCTTCGTAATTCATCGCGAATCGGAAGGCGAGCGAGCGGACGGACGGCGGGCGATTCTCCCTCGAGAGGAGCACGTCGCAGGGGTCTTCCTGAGCGTTGTTTACTTTGCAAGGGGCGGCGATAAGTCCCGCGAAATCGAATTCGAAAGATACGTAGATGCGTATTCGCGTATCGTCCCCGTTCCGTCGGCTCTCCCCTATCTCCTCCCCTTCTCACTTTCTCTCTCTCTCTCTCTCTCTCTCTCTCTCTGTTCCGCGCGCGTTTCTGCCGCTCGCTTATTTGTTTAACTAAAATCCTCGCCGCTGTCCACTAGCCACGCTTTCTCATATTCTGGATCGATGCGGACTAACGATCGGCTCGCGGTGGAGTGGCGCGTGCGACGGGCGGAAATCCACGTAGGAGACGCATGCCTGTTGACACAAGTCGCGGCGAGGACGCGCGCATTGTTGGCCGACGGTGGTATGCACGACGGCCTTTTGTGGACACTGAAACGCGAGACTCGCGCGGCGCTCTGGACATCCAAATGGATCCACGAGTGCCGAAACCTCCGTACTTTTCGGCCAGACGCTTTCACACCCCTTCGCGTTCGCTCGCGCGAGCCGTTCAAAAATGGCTACTTCCTTGCAAGACGCCTGCGTCTCCCCTCTTCTCACCCCCCCTCCGCCCTCCCCGTTCTTTTATTCACAGCACGCGCGAAAGATCCGACGGATCGAACGGAACGGAAGAAAAGGAGTATAACGTCGATGGACGAACGAGCGGAGACAGAAGATCGCTTTTCGAGAAAGAGAGATCGTCGAGGGACCAAAATGGAGAATTTTCAAGAAGTCGGAGAGAAGAGCGAGATTTTTTAGGCTCCCATGCAGCGCCAGCCATGCTCTCGAAGACGGTCGAAAGCGCCGAGAGAAACCCGGCGGGTTCTCTCGTTACCAATTAACGACACGGCACTCTTTCGTCGACTTTGTAACGAGAGACTGACTGACACTCTCGTCGATCCCTAAATGGAGCTAAGATATCCATGATTCCGCCGTTGTAACGGCGATAAAAGCGCGAGGGACGTGACTCTCGGAAGGCGGAAGGAATGGTGGCCGGCGAGACCGAGAGATAAGTTTTCATCCCGACGTGACTACACGACGGGAGTACACGGTCTTCTCCCTCTCGCCCTCCCCCCTTCCATCCCTCCCCGTCTCCCGGGGCACTCCTCGTCGCTTCCGGCATTTGCGCGCGCGGGACACGCGGTATGAGATTTCTCGATGAATATCCGATAACGTTGTAACTCCACGCGCGCGAATCCTCAGCAGCGGCGAGTCCCTAGAGAGAAATTTCACCCGTCCGTCCGTCGTAACTAAATAACAGGTGTGGATCATTCGTGCTTAGACGTCCGACATTGACATTGATTTCCATATTAACGATCGTCGTCAGGCACAATGTGCCTCTCTCTCTCTCTCTCTCTCTCTCTCTCTCTCTCTCTCTCTCTCTCTCTTTCTTTCTCTCCCTCTCTCCCCTCCTCTCTCCCACCCTCGGTAGGTAGGTCCGCGAGCGCGTATACGCCGCGCGTGAGACTACCAACGAGCCTCCGATAAATACGAACCCCTCGAAACTCATTTGACAGGCTGACGGAGGACGAATGTTTGCATTCGATAACTCGGTAGCGTTTGACAGATAGACCAACTGTCCGAGGCGCAATCCATCGAAGCGGCCGCTGAATTAATCGATATGTAGACGAGCCCCGCGCACGCCGAGGCGCGTTCTCTCGCCCTCTCACTCGCGATGAGCATGTAAATGGATGTAGCTGGCGAAATATATTTTCTCTATCGGGGAACCTGCGAGCCTCCCCGTCGTTGGGCGAACAGAGAGAGAGAGAGAGAGAGAGAGAGAGAGAGAGAGAGAGAGAGAGAGAGAGAAGGGTAGCGACGAGATGTCGGGAATTGCCGTCGCCGGGCGCTTTTCATCAAAATCGAGCACCGAGCTCGACGGAAACTCGAGCGGAATTGATACTCCGTGGGAGGTCACGTTGATATTCGCGATATAGACGAAGTTGTTCTTCGCGAACGCGGAGGAACTTCGCCGAGACTTCGTTCCGCGCGTGTCGTCGTTGCGCAACGCTTCAAGTTCCGCCACTTTGTACGGTAACACGAGCCACCTCGTCGACTTTGCCGGAATGCGGCGAGAATTTCGTTGTGATCTATCCACCTATCGGCAAGGGATACCTGGTCGTCGAAATCCGAGAGAATTCGGGCGCGAGCATTCCACCGCGTGAAAAACGAGCCGAATGAACCTGCGAGTCATTCACGAGCGTGTGCGTTTTGTTTACAGTCGCGACGATGTCCCTCTATCTCTCTCTCTCTCTCTACATTTTCAGAATAAAATGCCACTGTGTCAAGCATAACCCCGTCTCTTTTCCAATCAATAAAACCGACTTCCTCTCGAGATGTCTGCTCGCAACTTGTGCTATTCTCCCATCACAATTTCCATTTACCGCTCGCGTACACGTGTTACGTAATCTTTTCGGTAGTTGAGACGCGCTTCTACGGGTAGTCACGGTTAATGGTAAACAGTAGGTAAAATCTCATACTACGTTAAACGCGCGCGTTCAAACCGTACATGCAATACCACCAATCGTTCTCCTCATTCGCATTCGAGCGTACGCGACTGACGTTTTAGAGGGATCTTATCACTCGCAAGACGAGCAAACGTAAAAAAATAACAACTCTTTGCACGAGTTTGTAATAAAATAAAATAAAAAATCAAGAAACTGAAAAGCAGGTCCAAGAACCAAGTCGCTGTTCCTCAGGCGTAATTGTATCGCAAAGAGTCGCATATTGCCGTTTAACAAATTCCGCACCTTCGGATTCTTTTTCAGCGTCAACGAAAAAAAGTCAATGGGCCGCGAACGCAAAAGCATGTCACCGTTAGATACATAAAAAAGTTAAGTACGAAAGAGGAAGCTGTGTGAAGAACGGTGATCCCTCGGAAAAACATCCTCGGCGCGGTACGGTCCGAAGCGCAAAACGACGGCGGCGGTACATCGTCCCCCCAAAAGCGCGCGGAGCGAAGAGCAAGCTTGCTACTATACTACTCACTGGCGAAGCGCGGGTCGTTGGTGGCCGGTGGCGCCGGTGCGTACCAGGGATGATGGTGCGACGATACCGCGTGGGACCGCATCGGGTCCGTGGCGGTGGTCGCGGCGCCGACGCCGGGCCCGGCGTGATGGTACGGCGAGAGTTCCGCGGCGCAGTATTGGTACTGCGACGTGAGCTGCATCGCGTAAGGATTGCCCATGGCGCTCATGCCGCCGCTGGTACCGCCGGCACTGCCGCCACCGCCGCCGCCGCCACCGGGGGCGGCCCCGTTGGCTACGGAAACCGGTCCGGGGGTGCTGCCGCCGGGCGTCGAGCCGCCGTGTAGCGGCGGGCTGCCGCTGCTCGCGCTCGAGCTACCGGTGTTACCACCTACCCGAGCGCCGCAAGCGTTCCCGTAAGGCGAGCCCTGGGGATGCGTGACGACCCCGACACCGACGGCGGCGGCTGCGGCGGCGAGCTCGAGCTTCCTGTAGGACTCCTCAATCGGCGACAGGATGTCGGTGACGCTGAAGGGGGTCGTGTGAGCGCCGGCGGCTTGGACGTGAGACGAGTGCTGCTTCGGCGACAGGCTCATCGCCAGGTCGATGCCATTGAGGTCCGACAGAAGGCCGGCCTGTTCCAGCTGCGACTGCTGCTGCTGCTGCTGTTGTTGTTGCTGCTGCTGCTGTTGCTGCTGGTGCTGGTGGTAGCTGGTAGCATTGCCGCCGTTGCCCTGGTTGCCGCCGCCGTTTCCGCCACCGCCGCCGCCGCCGCTGCCACCGCTCATTTCGGCGAGCCCGACGCCGTCGAAGTACTTGAAGCTCGCGCTTCGCGGAATGATGAGGCCGGCGCTAGCCGTAGCAACGGCGCGACAACATTCCGACGCTAGTGCTCTCCTCTCCCGTGCGACGACCGCGTACACTCACCGCGGTATTTACCGCGGTCGCCGAGAAATCGCGTCGTTCACACGTCGCCGATTCTTCTTCGGTTCACTACGTTCTCGCCTACGGGGGTACGATCGGTCACAACTGTCGAACACACCGGATTCAATCGTCGCTTCAACGTCGGAGTCTCACAGGTCCGTTTGCTAGCGGAAGGTCCCGGTAGGTACTCTCTCACCGCACACGACTGTCGTGCACACGCAGTGTCACTTGATTCGCCCGTCGACCCGCGACCGACGAGCGCGTCTCAAAATCCCGCCTCGGTAGAGGATTCTCCGTTTCTTTCACGAGCACCGAAGCTGCTCGGCCGCGCAGTCGACGCGAAGCTCATCCGCCTCGGGCCAGTGATCGTCCCCTGCTCTCATTCCGCGGCGATCATCTCGATGACGCTCTGACGCGCGCATAGTTCGCGAGTAATCCGCAAGTTCCTCCGACGCACTAGCACGAGAATCTCACTGACAGCAAGCGAGTGAAACGGCGGACATGAACGTTCGTCGTACTCGTCGACCTCGAGGTCGCTTTATCTGTTACCACACGCTCGTTTCACAGCCGCGGCGAACCGCCGGCACCGTCGACGGTGCGATTTCTTAAATCCATCTTCACGCGCTTGTTTCTCGCTATCTCTTTTCCGTGGTCTTCCAACGACGGTCTGGCAAAGACGAAGAATTCGGCACGCACCGAGCGGAAGAATCACAGCGGGGAATCGGCCGGCGGACGACTCGACTCCACTCGGCTCAACTGTCGGCTCTTGACTTATCCGTCGACACTGTTGGCGAGAAGAGAACAGTCGGTGTGTCTCGCTTCTTGTAGTCGCGTTTCACACCATGTATTCACACCTGAATTCACACGCACGCACAACGAAGCGCGAAGGGAACAAGGTCGTAGGGGATGCCGCGCGGCACCCACGGCGGTAACCTTACACACGTGGTCGAGGATAGTGGCCGGCCACAGCCGGCCGGCGGCCGACTGAAATCACTCGGGGGTCTTTGAGTCCTTGGATTCCGCCGATAGAGAGACGATGGTAAATGTACCACTCTACACTTCGCCTCCACCTTCGTCGAGGATACACTCTCTCTCTCTCTCTCGCTCTCTCTCTCTCTCTCTCTGTAGGAGAGGAGTCGCTCTCTATGGATGGATGGATAGATGGATGGATGGATGGATGGATGGATGGATGGATGGATGGATGGATGGATGGATGGATGGATGGCTGGTTGGATGGATAGCTGACTAGCTGGCTGGCTGGCTGACTGGCTGACGGGCTGACTGGCTGACTGGCTGACTGGCTGGCTAGCTGGCTAGCTGGCTAGCTGGCTAGCTGGCTGGCTGGCTGGCTAGCTGGCTGGCTGGCTGGCTGGCTGGTTCGGCTGGCTGGCTGGCTGGCTGGTTCGGCTGGCTGGCTGGCTGGCTGGCTGGCTGGCTGGTTTGCTGGCTGGCTGGCTGGCTGGCTGGCTGGCTGGTTGGGTGGCTGCCTGCCTTGCTGGCTGGATGGATGGATGAATGAATGGAGAGGACTTCTGTCGGGTACTCCTGGAGAGGTCCTCACGGCCGCTTAGACCCACTCGACCAGCGCTCGCCCGCTCGCGCTCGCGCTCGCACGCTCGCTCGCTTGCTCGCTCGCCCGCCCGGGCACAGGCCCCACAGCCTCTCGCGGAGAACCCGTACGACGACACGATGAGTGGAGTGCCCACTACGGAGAAGTGCCTGCTACCAAGAGTCGTGATGAGATGTCCCCTTTTGCGTGTGAGAGAAGGGTTTCCATACGCCGCGGAGAGGCGGAGGAGAGGCTGCGACGGGAGAAGTGGAGATGCAGAGGCCTCCGTACGGCCATTGGGCGAGTCTCGCCAATCGAGCGGCGCGACCATGCTGTCTCGTCGACGATTGGTGCGGCGCTTCGCCGTCGTCTATCGACGGAGTTGGCTCCCGCCGTTGCTCGTTGCCCCGTTGGAGCCTGGTTGATCGAGATGGAACATAGCGACCTATCCAAGCGAATGCTAGGTCGTGCCGCGAAGTCGTGGCGGCTGTTACATGGAAACGCAGCGCGACCGCCCAGCCCAGAGACCGCCCATCCGACATTATCCTCGTCATCGGATCCTGCGATGGAAGGACGGTCCGGGGGGCGGGGAAAAAGCGGCGAGAGAAAAATGTTGGTCGGCACACACGCGCCGAAATTCTCGCCGTGGCTCTCTCTCGTCAGCGACCGACGGTACCTACTTTTCGATCTGTGTCGGCTGTCACTGCTATCGCCAGCGAGCGCACGAATCCGTATCTCACAAGTCTTGGACTTTAGCTCTGAGTTTCTGTCACTACTGCCGTTGTTGCTGCTACTGTTGTTGCCGTTGCTGCTGTCGCCGCTACTGACACTACATACAGGATCCTCGTATATTCTCGGGACACCTGTCGTCGTCGTCGTCGTCGTCTTTCGTCTCGCCCGGCTAACCGGCGAACGCGTGCAAAATGGAACGTTACGTTCAGTGGTGTTGATTCAATCATCTGCCACGTGGGTGATTCTGGCGAGGTTCGCTTTGGTCGTAGTGTGCCCAATAGCGTATTCGGTCGTTAAACGCATTACCGCGCTGGTGAAGACTGGTGAATCGTCGGGAGCTCTTGATGACGATGTGCTTGAACAAAATATTGCCCGCGTCTCTAATATCTCACTCGAATATTATCGAAATTGACCGGCTAAATGCACCGTGCTCACCTGCTTGCCTGATTATCCTATGATCGATGAAAGTCACGGCATTTATCATCTTAACGAGTTTCGGGAAAATCGTATGATCGTCCTCATGATTTTCGTCTGCTCCGAGACGCATCGAAGAGAAACGCTTCGCGATCTTCTTGCTACTGACTTTATATTTGCATCCTTGACAGCCGCAGTTCAGTTCGTCAGCTATTAAGTACGTCTTGGTCTTGGTTGTATGCAAATTTATTCAGCTGCGGGATCATGAAAAAGAAAATATAAATGAGCACTTCGTGTGTTCAAAATTAGATCAGGCGTCGGTGACGCTTGCAGGTTCCGATTTAGGAATTTTTTGGTGGAACGCACATGTGTCCGGATATTACACGCGTATTAAAACACTGAATACTAAAAAATAATAATTTTGAACTTTTCAATGGACAGTCGCATGGTAAGGCGCGGATGTTTAAACACGACGCGTTAGCTTCGGAAATGTTTAAATCGAAATTGCAGGACATTGATGCCTTGGCATTTATTAAGCACAGGTTCACCGGAAGATTTAGATTTTGAATATTTTTCTCTCTTAGCGCGTTTCGAGACATCCAATAAGAATTCCGATATCCAATAAGAAAACCAATCATTTGAGATTTAGTCGGAAAGAACTGCTCTCATTGGACATCGGCTGTGTCGCGAAATGCCTCGAAGAAAGTGTTCAAATCATTTCGCATACTCGTGCATCATAACTGTTAATTATTGTTGAGAAAACAGCACGAGAACACTTCAAAGATCGCTTTTTCTTTTGTATGTGATTTTGTCTTATTGTATTATAAACGCTACTCCGATTGTACGATATTTGAGATATCGTTGCTGCTTTCCTCGAAAAATTATGACTAATGATAATTATTGAATGCTCTAACGTTATAAGTAATAGGCGTCCTTATCATTTGTTACGCTTAATTATCATCTGCACGTTATATCGCATTTGAACATGAACTTCCAATGTTACGGTTTGTATAATTCTTTAGATATTTTCTGTGTAAAAGCTGCTTGCTGCTTGCTGCAGGGATGTGTCCAAAATTTACTGATAATAAAAAAAGCTCATTCATTCCCGAAACATATACTTATCTGAGCTATAGCTCGAATACAAAATACAAAAATGGCTACAAACTGAAATAGAGAAGCATATGTTTATATAAACATTTTATTATTTTTAAGTCCCGAATTTGTCACTGCAGTGAGTTCTACATGTTGTAAAATACCATGTACATATAATTACAATAGATTGTTTATTAGGAAATTTTCAACGTTATCCTAATATCACTGCTTATCCAATCTTAACCCTTTATATTCTTTCAATTCTAGGCAGGATCGGGAAGTAACATATTAGCTATTGTATGTCGTTATCCTTATACATCGTTATCCTTATATGTTATTTTGTTTCAGTATGGATTTCGTTTATAATATTTATAACGATAACGATATAATTATTATATAATTATTAACCTATTACACTTCTCGGTAATGAATATGATTGTTACTTCCTATATATGTAGAATATATACAAACGAGTTGGGCGATAACGAATCGTAAGAAAATCGTAAGATTATTAGAATTTTACGAAAAAGTAACGAAATCGTAATTACCCGTTGCTTTTCGAATCAAAATAACGGCAATAAACTGCAGCTTTGAAAACAAGTAATGGTAACGAGTATCATTTTTTTTCTTGAATAATGAATAATAATAACAAGTTACTTGGCTTCAAAAGCCAATTTACTAACCTAACCTTATTAGAAACATTGACTTTAATGTGAAACGAATTTCAAAGAGAGCAACTTGAGAAATAATTACGTCTATATGAGTAATTAAGTACTGAGGAATGAAGATTGCGAATTAGAGATTAGAATATGAAGAATATGATTTGTTAATCTTACGATAAATTTCAATCTTGTCTCATTTTTGTCCTGTTTAATCAAGTTCCATCAAGTTCGAATCTTCAGTATGCAATTTTCTCCAATTGCGGCCTTGTCTACAATACGTGTTGTAAGCTGTAAGCCGTAAGAACTGACCAATTATAGCCGATTATTTTTGTAATAATCGACTGTGATTCGCCAATTCTTACGGCTTACAACTTACGACACGTATTGTAGACCAGACCTGAGTTCCAGACAAACTTGTAGATTTTCTAAGAGCTCTTCTCGATGCGCCCTCTGAAGAAATGGACAAATACTCATCAGCCATATCCACTTCTTGACGCAATCGGTTACATTAAAATGTTTAGTCCATGTGTGTGTGTGTGTTTATGGTAAAATAAAAAAACGACCAATATTTCAAATATATATGAAAAAATCCATTGCATACTAATCTTCTAACCTTGGGAAAAATTATAAAATTAATACTTTATTATACACTGAACCAGATATTTTTACCTATTGGTGCCGTGATTAAAATATGTCTAACAACGTATTATAATTGTTTATTTTACATGTCTAAATATCGCGAATCCTTACTAGTTGTATTCTACAATTATCAATAATTATTTTAATAATTCACTTCATCGTGATCTCTATTATCGTGGAGCGTGCCAATCGACGTCGCGCAGATTGCTCGGTGCAACCAGGTGCAACTTCAATGGCCGAATAAACGTTGCTGCCGTTGAGCTGTTACTGATGTTATTAAACTGGCATAGAAGGAGCAAACATGATAGGCAAGCAGAATCAACCGGTTGACGATGAAGACAATCAGTCACGAATAAAATTGATAGCGAACAAGCGGAAGTCGTTGGAGGAGAGAACCGCTCAGGTATCGCACATTTGTCATTATTCTCAAAGTTACTATTTCGCGTAGGTAAGCTCACCTGAGTTTACTTCCATGTTAGTTATGTTAAGTTGATTGTTTTTCGCTGTATATTGAGCGTTGTCAATGTTACTACGATTTCCAAACTTACATATGATTTGCAGCAAGGTTAAAAATTAAATTTCTCAAAAACTAAATTCTCTTTTCTGTAAATTCCTATTGTTTTGAAAAGTTAAACATTGCACATTATTCATGAGCTTCGTTATTGAAATTAAGAAATGGATAAAGAGCAGAGATAATCAATTTAGCTTCTGTAGTCTTATTTATAAAAAATCCTAGAAAATTGTATCGTTATATACTTGTGGGAATCTATTTTCTAGAATATTGAATAAATCATGGTTTAAGAATGACTCTCCCAGTATATACTGTAACATATATAATTATGCACATCTTGTATGTCTAATTCCTTTTTTTGTTATAAAAGCCACTTTTATCGTATAAGAACAATTATCATTATATAAGATGTAACAACTATAGAAAGTAAACTTTATTTTTAAATTAAAATTGAAGCAAATGAATATGGTGCGCAATTCATTATATATAAAAGAAATTTTTAGTAAGAAGTTAAATATATTGTCATTATAGGTGACTCTTATTTTTGACAAATTAACGATGTTGCTTTATATAATATATAACTAACAAAGAAATATGTGCAAATAGTAAGATGAATAAATTTTTGAATTATTGATAATGTTTACAACCAATAGCGAGGTTTTTGAGAATACCGTACTATTGTGAAATCCTTTTCATATTTATGATATAAAACCACAATAAAGGAATATAATTCTTAGATTCAGGCAGAGATTAAAAGCTGCTTCAAGGAGCTAACAGAGACTCTACAGTCCAGAGAAAAACAATTGCTGCGTCAGGCAGAAGCTATTCACAGACAACAACTCTCACTGGTAGAAACATCGCTGGACTTTCTGCCATCTTCGATAGCAGTCTTGAATGATAAAAATGAGCTGGAAGAGCAAATACGTCGGTTTGGTAATATCGAGATACACGGAGTAAATGGTATTACAGTGAAAGACGTGGAGCCGTACAAAGTCGCAGACTATCAGGATGCTAACAAGGATCACGTCAGTTTCGACAAGTCGATCACATGCCAAAAGATGCAAGATCACTTGAGGCTTCCGCGTTGCAAAGACTTCGTGTCTGATTACAAAACTTTACGTATCTCGAGCTTTTCACCCACTTTTCTAATCGAGAATCATCTGCGAGACGCACGAAATGTGAAAAACAACGCGTTATTGCATCTCAACGACACCGTATCCTTGTCAGAATGCTCACCGTTTTTGATCATAAAACGTAAACTCGGCTTAACACACGTGTCCTTGGACGGCTTGCACGCCTTCGACAGGGCATATCCGCGGAATATACGATCTTTTGAAATATCCTCAGATTTGTGTGAGCTGCAAGATTTGGCAAATGAAACAACAGAAGACGATTTGCAAGAAATCGATAAAGAAGTCACGAGTCAGGATGACGGCGAAGTGATTATCGAATATCCGAAAGAGCGGGAGAAGGACCATGAACATCCAATGCAGGTGCAACAATGGCTACGACAGATTCTCGCGGAGACTGAAATAGAACCCGCGATTCACGAAATCGGACAGTTTTCGGAGATATCCAACGCAAAGCTCTGCAATGAGCTGTAATAGCATTCGCCGGCGTTTTGATTGGGGGCCAAAGTTTCCAAAGCCATGGAAAGTGAAACCGAGAAGGCTGATCTACCTTAGACTTACACATACTGAATATTTTTAATTTATACGACTTTTACGTAAAGTCGACCGAATGATGCGATATTCCTTTTCGTAATCAAAGAAAAACGCAAGAAAAGATTGATCACGACAAAGTGAGAGAAAGAGAAAAAAGGGAGAGAGGGAGTACAAGAAAAAAATTTATTGTGCACATCGATTGCGATAAACTTCAGTATTTCGGCGACAGATGCACCCATCATGGTATTCTTTGTTTTATACAAGAAATGTGTTCGTCGTTCACGAAATATCGAACAAGTCGATTAGTGCCCTTTCGAAAAAGTGTTGCTTAAAATGTCCGAATTATACAATTTATAAGACTGTTTATTCTCTACTAAAAAATCGCGTATTTATTGTATCGTAATTATAAGTTTTCAGTTTATAATGCCTGCTGTCCTCTGCAATTGATCATTGTTAGCTGAGTGGTGGAATTTAACATATGATACAACGTTTTACCAATCTTGACAGCAGACAAAAGCACGATAATATGACAGGTCTTTTTTTTCTGAGGAATAAAATTGACGATTGTACATTGTTGTAAATAATTGAACAATCTTATTCATTGTCACATCGCAATTTCGACTTTTCTCTGCACTATATATGATTAGATTGTGCGTATGCATATATTTATCGATTAATATTATAATCGATTGATTTATTGAGAGTGCTCAGTTATCAAGGATATATTATCAAAGCTCCATTAATTACCCATATTAGACAGGAGCGATTTAGGTTTTGTTTGTACGTTTTACTATCTCACACCTGCTTTAAACAGATTACGTTAAAAACGTTTTTTTTGTATATCGCTTTTTAATACTGTGAGAAGATATTTAATAAATTAATACCGTTTGTAAAATTGCGCAAGAAGTTAAAAGATGAGTGGATAAATATTTTTCGTTATTTCGATCGTTATTTCAATTTATTCATATCTGCATACGAGATTTATTTGTTTTGTTGATTTCCTCTTAACCCTAAACCGTATAAGTACGACGCATGAGCTTTGATATTGACACAGCGAAGTGCACGATTCTTTCAAGTTTCGCTTTTAACGATTTCCTTCGAACAATAACATTAAGTTTTCATTTTTATCAACATGACGAATCTATTAGAATAATATTGAGATTTCGCTACAATTTGTATATAAATTTAGTATACCGATATGTACGCAAATATTTTATACTGTTTAGGGTCAATCGAGTTGTACGTATGTATCTTTATTTGTCGATCACTTCATCGTGATTGTTCAAATCAGAGAAAAGAATCGTTTGCTAGAAAAATAATTTATCCTGACAAAACTCTCACTGTTCTTACATCGAGCCTTACAATACAAAGTATATGTATAGTACATGCGACGTATATATATTATATATATATATATATATACACATGCACATATACATACACATCGCATAGATATTTCGATACACGAGCTAGCGTAGACAAATAGATCGGCTGTAACATGCCAAGTAACATCACGGGTATATTATTGCTGTTAATTTTTTAAGACAAAACGAGAACAATTCTAAATGTAAAATGATTGAAAAACTATAAACAGTCCGTATAATAAACAATTCAGAAGTTCTGATAAAGAATTAATAAGAATTAACAATAAAAACTACTCACTCTTTAGTAGTCAAGTAAAAAGGAATATATCTTGAAATACTAAATTTTTCGTTTAAAACTTCCAAAGAAAAAAACGAAAAATATAGTACCTTATTGTACTTTATGCAACGATTATTTGAAACAATGTAATTGTTATAAGATACATTTTGCATACAATATGATATTCGTGATATCGAGATAGCGATGGAGGAAGTCGAGTTCTATAGTAATTTAAGAAACATAGAAAGTGATCTATTAGATACGCTAGTCGCGTATCTAATAGATAAAATTTGGATAGAAATAATTATATAATTCACATTAACATCAATTCATATTAATTATTGTAAAATTAATCCTACCTTTATAAGTAGGATAATCAACTACGAATTTCATAATCTTTGTGCTGATAAGCATTAAAACGTTTATTACTTAGTGACACTAAATATACTTTCACATTATTGAGAAAAAATATTTTTTCATCTACAGTAGAAATACCTATTTGTACGTAATAAAAACGCTTTTTTGTAAATAATCATTATGCCGTCAGTATTCCATTTGAGTTACTGAATTCAAGTTATATTTGTCACGAGAAATTATTTTTTTTTAGTCTTGCAAGTGAAAGAAAAAGTTTACTTATGCCAAAACAGCTTTTATTATACATAACACCATACTTCTATATTGTCAGTGCTCATCACTTTGGACTTATCCTCCAACACTGTCGTTTTCATTCATCGGTTCAATCATAAAAACAGATTCTTTCAAAAATATAAGATATAACGAGAGGAAACGCACGCGGATTACTTAATTGTGTTTTAAAATAAATTGGATTCATATGATAGTTTGATTCGCCTCGCTCAGGAACTAATTTCGTTAATTAACAAAGCTAAACTAGGAAATAGTTTGGGTCATAAGAGGGGTAGTAGACTGTGAGGAGGCTGCTTTGGCATGGCACTCCAGGTTCTGCCTGAATATCTTTTACTCCATCATTTCGGTGAGACTTGGTAGAAAATCCAGTCCTCGAAGAAGGATGGGACGAAGGCACGATCCTTCGTGAATGTCACGGGCACGCACAATTGCGACAGGACTTCTTCGTACATTTTCAAGGACTCTGGACAGGACGCACCGTTTCCCTATATTTAAACAAAATATGTCAAGAATTTTTATATATGAATTTATATGAATTATAAAATTTCCAAGTACTGGTTAATCGTCTTACATATTGCTTGCAGTTGAGTTAAAAGCACTTAAAATTGCATGACACTTGAAAATGAAGATACTTACGTGCGTCATATATTTGCCAGTGGGTTTCAATACTTTCATGGAGGAATTGAGAATTAGTCTAATGAAGTCCCAGGCATCACCATGTGGCGTTGTGCTAATAGGAATATCCGTCAAGTCGCCGAAGACATAATCGAACTGGCGGCCTTCTTCGATCATATGTGCCAATGCTTTCACGCAATCGCCGACTATTATCTGTAAAGTATCAACGTATTTATCAGCTTAAGATTTCGAGAATTTGCGAGAATTATCATATCACGAACTCTTTCATTCTGTAACTTAAAAATTCAGATCAAGTTTCCGAAATTTATGAAAGAAAAAAAAAATAAAGAGAACCATTTGAATCAGAATCAGAAATTTAAGTCATTGTTCGAAGATTCCAAAGTAAGCCTTACCTCATAATTATCGCCCTTTCTTTTGTCCAGGCAATCACCACATATGGTTCGCATATGCTGACTACAAGCTTTCATGACGATGTCATCGATCTGCAAAGAGACAAAAGAAACGGACATATTACATTGTCTAGTTTTAGAAAATTTAAAAATTTTAAAAATTTTACAGCATGTTATTCATCGGTTTACTCACTTCGAGCATCGTGATGAACTTCGGCTTTTCCTTCAGCAATTCCCACAACAAGCCGCCGTCACCACCGCCGAGTATGACTATCTCCTTGCCGGCATAGTTCTCTTTGCCGCGTTGCATCAGCGTTTCTGTGTATATGAGATCCGCCTCGGACATATCTGTGAAAAGATGTATCTCCGGTAAATTATGAATTGGTGGGAGAAATCAGAACGTAATGCGGCTTACTCTGTAGCTCGTCCAACACCAGCAAATTGCCCAGTGACTTGGAGTGCACGATTTGTACCTTTTGGTATGGCGACCTAGCCTCGAACACGAGCTTATCGATGTCATACTCCAGCAGCCGTTCGTCTTGAATAAGGGCAATCTTTATTGGCAATACTTGTCATCGATCCGTGATAACATTAACTTAAAGCATGCTTCGATACATAGAGAACATTGCGAATAAGAATAATAATCATAATCATAACGAAAAAAAAAAGAAAAAAAAAAAAGAAAAAACAGGGAGGTGTCGCAAGGCAAAGCTCATAAACACGCATGGGAACGTTAGCATCATAACCAGACGGAAAAAAATGTGAAGGTATTGAGAGAGATGCTATTTGAAAACTGAGTGTTTCGTCATGCAAGAACAAGACACACGATGTCTTCGGGTTTAACGCGAAGAGACACGATGGACGTTCCAGACTTGAACCGAGCCGAGCACTGATTCTCGTGTGGATATTACTGGCGAGAAAGAGGTGTCTAGAATCAGAAATCGCCAAGCCTAAACTTTACAAGCTTCAAATATGAAATTATACATTTCGAAATCAATCTTAAATGGTGTGTGTGGCTTGATGAGTTTTGATCTTAAACGCCTCAAATGTTCAAACATTTCTAAAACGCTGCTTGTCCGCGCAACATATGTTTTTCTTCTTTACGTTTCTTTTCTCTTTTCGTATCTGACTTCTTTTCGTAAAGAACAAGAGCGAGGCGTGAGGACATTTACAATTACAAATATTTAAGAGAATCGATGTATAATACTATGGATTTTTTTTTTTCGACCGAGTCCCTTAAGTACAAGCAGTTTGTCTCGTAAGTACGGCCACGTTTTGGCCTGGTCCGTAAACATAATTATAAATAAAAACTCACCGGCGGTAGGATAGTATCTCTCAAAGGGTCCACCGCGTTTAATCGGGGTAAGTGTGTGCGACCGTGTAGCGGTTGCCGCTGCCTGCAACGCCGTCTCCAATTCTTTTGCCAACTACCACGACCGGCCATCATCATCATGATCATCGTCATTGTCATCGCCGTCATCATCATGATTATCATTTATCATCATCATCATTATGATCATCGTCATCGTCCATCATTATTATCATCCGTTATTATATTTATATCATTGATCATAGATCATCATCATTATCATCATCATTATCATCATCATCATCATCACCATTATCATCATCATCAAGCCGAACCAACGAATGAACAGAACAAAGGCACTATCTTGTAAAACGGAATCGCTACGCTCCTTGCTGTTAAGGAAGCTAAAAAAAGGTGTCGAGATCTGGCAAGCCATGATATATGGCAAGGGCTTATTTTCGTCCAACAAAATGATACCGTAACAAGCGGTAAAACGTAATTATACAATAACGATAAAAAAAGGCAATTGTGTGTGTATGTGTGTTCAGTAACTATCCGCATGATTTTTTTATACTTCCGATGATTTAAAGAAAAAGTTGTACGTAAGTTGAACGAACGCTCATCTGCTTCATGCAGGCTACAACTTGTAATAAGAAAATTAGAAAGTTTTCTTCATAAAAAAATCAAGGTCAGCTTGGATCTTTTTAATGGCACCGTGTAATCTTTTTTACATAATACTATAGAGGACTTCAAGACGAATTTAACATACTATTATAAATGTCACTTTTATTATATATATATGTCTATATGTATATGTATAAGAAAAATGTGTATGTGTGTGACGCTATTATTGAGCCGTACGACTAAAAGTGTAACGACCTGAAGACAATATAAATCTAAGAATCCAATGATCTCGGCATTTGATGGTTTATGAATATAAAATCGAGAAAGACGATAAAGACGAGCACACAGTGGAAATAAAGTCTCTCAAATTGCTTCACGATTGTAAGTGTAGAAAATAAAAAGGCTCCGTGATCATAATAAATTGTGACAAGCGCAATGGAACTCAAAGCTAGATGCAGTTTTTAGGAAAATATGTATGAACAACATATTGAACCGTTATCAAAGAGCCTTAAACATTGTCAAAAAATGTTAGACATTTTAGCCCATTTTGCACATTTTTAATGATTTAGAAAAGTTGCTTATATGTTTGTAATAATCTGTTTTTATTGCCTTTCAGTATTGAAGCTATCCCTCAAATGAGCATCTCTGACAATAAAACATGACAAGTAATATTCTTAAAAACTTTTACTCGTACAGCCAGAAAAGGCAAGAGAACAGTTGTAGACATAGAAATATATATATATATATAAATATATATATGCTCGAGAATATTATGTATTTAAATAAATAGTTAAAATCTTTTTATGAACAAATCGAGTGCTGGATAGAAAGTCTGGACTGAAAACGTAACAGTGCTGGGAGAAAATTAAGTCAGCATTCCTGGCAAGCGGCCTACCCTAAATATCTATTAGTGACAGTCAATAGCGTTTGTAATTCTATGCCAAATATTCCACGATATAAATCTACAAGTATGTAAATATATGTAGATATGTGTTAGGAGAAGTAAACGAGGAACAAAATCTAATTGAGGGAAAGCATTTTCTACCTGATAGCGTCAGATAGAGGTCATATATGGTTCCTCGTCTTACTGGTGGTAAACGTTTGCTGCGCTGGCTGTTCAAAGCCATGGCAACATCAGCTTCCAAGTATCGCCACTGCTACAACGTTCTGTCAGTTATGCCATATTTCTCGTTTCCGTTATAAAAAATGCCTATATTCTATTATTTCGCGTTTTTAATTTAGCTTTCAATTTAGTTTGAGTTGACTTATTTTGTTCCGCAACAAATCGATTTGTTCAATAATAATTGTTCAAGTTTATTATTATGAATTTCTAAGTAGGAATCTGTGTTTCCTATGTCTTTCTCTCTAATTTATAGAGAAATTCCTACAATTTGCTTCCTATCTTTTCTCTTTATATTTTCCTAAAGGGATTTTAATAATTATGGAATTTCAGCCTAAGAGAACATGTCAAGCTTTTCGTTGGTGTCTGGTTTTGATTGTTGCAAAAAAAAAGACAAAGAAATGAATATTTTTTATCGCTTAGCAGATTTTCTACAAACATGGAGCATCCTACCTCAAAAGTCAAGAGTGCTTCCTCGTCATCCTGTTTGTAATACTCGATGTTTAAGGTAATCAGACCTTCTGTGTATCCTCTGACAGTGATCAGACTACCTCTGGGTCCAGTGTATAAAACAAGCAAACTGCCATCAATATTGGATTCTGTTAATGGCTTAAGACCAGTAAAATGTTCCGCCAATACATTGGAAATTGCTGATTTTAAATTTGATCGCTTCTCTACATCAGCAATCATGCTACCAGATACTGTAAAGTCCAGAAGTACTGTATGGGCCACCATAGTTTCTGCAAGTATTGATATGTTCACTCTTTTGTTAACATAGAATATATGAGTTATATTGCAGGTGTTATCAAGATGTGTTTTATCTTTATGCTTTGCATATATCTTATCTTATCACAAAGATGCACAGGCTCATATCCTCCTAATGTGAAATCTACATTCTTTCTTGTTACATATTCTTTGTGTATTATGTCGTAAACGTTTCAATGGGAGACGTAACGCTTACATGTAGATGCCGAACCGGTAAAATTTTGCTAAGTTTAGATTTGGGCGCATGGCATGCGATAATGATCTTTGCGTTTATTAGAAAATAAATTAAACAAAATAAATTAACGATCTGAACCGGGTCTTATCTCACATATCAATGGTATCATAAGTAGAATTCAAAATTGCTACAGTAGCATGTTACAGTTAAGAAAATCACGATAGTGAAACGTGCTTGATAACGGTTATACCAGAGAGAGGAGAGAAAACATTACATAATTCTTCGAAAAATATTACGTAATTACTGTCGCAAAGGGAATAACAATAATTAATTGATCGGTTAGGTAAAAAATTGATATATGATTGACAAACCGGCGATCATCCGTTTGTTTATACTCACTTGTAATTATGCAATAATATTTATCATACGATCAGAACTCAAGCACCGACGAGATATTAACAAAGACCGTTGGTCTTATGGGATTCACAATTTCAGAAAAATTTTGTGCTGTGCGCTAGTGTCCTCTGAGGAATATCATGGCTGGAGTATGAAGCTGTAGCTCGAAATAACCATAGATGATAAATTCCGATCTACAATGGTAATTTAACTAATCGCAGTCGGTTATTTTCTTCACATTCGACTGTGATTGGTTAAATCGACTGCAGCACCTGTTCAAATTAAATTTTTTTTCGCCGAATAGTCGTTTTAAAATGCCGTCTTTAAGCAGAGAGAAACCTGAAAGCGGCCAACACAGCATTTTCTGCAACACCGACTTTCCGCACTGGGAAAGGACGCCATCTGCATCCATTTTGAGAGGGGAATTACGATGCTACACCCACTTTCAGGTCTCGGTGGTAAAATCTGCATGTGGAAGCCCGTGCTACATTCACTTTCAGGCGGTTTATGTCCATGCTGCAACCACAGTTGCCATCTTTATGCCAGACTATGTCCGGAGGTCTAAAAAGAGCGGGAGGGGGGAAAGGGAAGGAGCAGGAAAAATAAAAGTACGTATTAAATATTAAATCTTCGAATACATGTTGCCGTATAAAAGTCTCCTGTATAATAAACAATTTGACACGTCTGGAGACGCATGATGTATCGTTGCCCGCGTCCCATTCCCTTCGTCCTGCTTCTCAATTCAGCATCCCGTCCGCTCCGAACATTCGTACGTGGCACTGACAATGTCCGTCGGTGAGCATTCGATCCGCTCGAAGGAGCACATGTTAATTAACGCGACGAGACTCCGATTATAAATATCCCGCGAGTCGACGAAATACCTGAACTTTTAAAAAAAGCGTCAAAGAAAATTACGTTGATGTTGTTATGGGTGAAATCTCACCCTGGTATATATTTTTTTATTTTCGAAATAAAAAAAGCCAAACGAATGCAATTAAATGTTATTTATCATCATTGAATATTAGATGAAAAGTAGAAGAGTTATTGTCCGCAGAGGATAATCTAACATTTAATAAGAACGAGACAAAATTCGCATAGGATGAGATTTCACTCTTTAACGCTATCATGACTTTTAATTATTCTTCGAAAACGGCGTCACAACTTTGACACTCTGTACAATTAGTTGCTAACACATTTTCTAATCGTACACATTCTTCTTTAATTAACATAAAGCTAACAAATGTCCGTTGCTTCGACAGAGTAATTTTCTTTATTTTCAGTAATCAATAAATATTAAATCAATGTCGCGTACAGTTGAAAGGCCTCCTCGCTTTCCCCTCGTCGTTCCGGAACCTTCGAGAAAAGAAGAGACGTCCAAGGGCAAGTCTCTCTTGTTTCAATCGCTGCCGAGGCCCGCAATGTTTACATCGCGCCGATTGTGTTGATCGGCTCGCGAGCGACGACACTTTTTGCTCTTCGTATTAATAGTCGCGCACCTCGTGTGCTCGACCTCATTCCATCAGCAGCAACCGTGCTCGACGCGCTCGTCACTTCTGTCTTCTATAATTGAAAGAACTGTATCTCGTCGGTCCTCGAGATACTCAATCGGCATCGCGTCGACGTCGCGTTGATTAACCGTACGGGCAAATCGCGATTATCGGCATTAGAAGCGTGAGTGAGTGAAATCCGAAGGACTCCAGCGGCCGGGAAGCAGAACGCCGGCAGTGATACGTCACGTTTCCAGGTATGTGGAATCATTTATTATGCGGGAGGTCTCCGATAATGAGAGCGGACGTTTGACGAATTTTCCGGGAATAAGAAGTTGGAATTTCGCGCTCGGCATTCACGATCCGTCATCATCCGACTAGTAATCATGACTTTATGAATCTGCAATTACTCTCGTCAATCTCTGTCTGTCTATCTATTTATTGCGTTGTTGTATTGTAAGAGATATCCAGAGACGGATAACGGTCTATGAACGCGGATCTCTAATTTATGTTCTCAATCAAACATTCTTAATAATTCCCAACTGTGTGAGTGTACAGGTCTTATGTAGAATATTCAACGTCATACCGCTTCTTAGATTGCGACCTTTTTTGTTTTCGGTCAGCGCTTCTTTCAAGTCTGTTTACTTTCGTTACGGGATCCAAAATTAAGTGTCCATTCGAAAAAGGGTATTTTCGAGAGCACAGAACTGTTGTCTCTGCTTCTTGTTGTCATTTTTTTTCGTCAGCTCTTTCAAGAGCTCCAAATCCTATCTAGACTTTCAATGTCAATGAAGAAAAGAAAACCGTAGCGAATATTCTGCATTCATCCCGACCAAACATTCTCTCTCTACCACAGCTTACCAATCAGGAACGCTAAATTTTTGTTCCAGATAATGCGGAAAGCAAGTCCGGCGGATGCAGATGCCGCACCGGAGGATTTGGTTCGGGCAGAGCAGGGTCGGCCGGAAGGTAAAGTTTACAAGTTTCCTACACATCTATGTTCAACCCTTTGCAATCTTTGCCTTTGCAACTTGTTCCTCATCAGCTCTCTTGAAAGCTTCAAGTCTCATTTAAATTTTCAGTGTTGGAACAAAAATATAAAGATAAAAATCCCATATCAAAATATTTCCATATTTTCGATTCGCCTTGATCAAAGATATTTTCTCTCTACCGCAGATTATCAACTGGGGAAACTACTTTTCTGTTTCAGTTGTTACGGAAAGCAACAACAATCCGGCAATGCGGATGCCATACCGGAGGATTTGGTTCAGGCCAAGCAGAGTCGGCTCGAAAGTAAGTTTACAAGTTTACTATAGTTCTCTGTTTGACCCTTGGCGATCTAGAGCTGGGATATAATTTTCGGCTCGACTTGAATTATGATCGCAGAGGGTAAACTACTCTTTTACTCGCCCGCACTCGTTGGTCAAATTTGATAAGTAAATGTGAATTTTTTGTTACAGAGTTGAAGCGGAATGTGGCCGGCTCTGACTGCAAGTCGTTTCGGTGAGTAAATACAAAATGAAAAAGAAACAAAATTGCGCATAACGGATGTGGAACTAAATAAAATATCGTTCGAGTCAATGCAAATTGCAAATAGATTCTTGCATGTGTATGTTTGTGACGTTGAATAAAATACATTGTTCGAAACAATCAGGAGATTACTTCATCGATGAGCCTGCATTACATGCGAGATTTTAAATACCGAATGATTCTCTTTTGATGTTCAGTTATCTGAATAAGAAATATTCATATCTATAAACGCGATACTGTCATCAGTTGCTTTATTTTCATTTTTCAAGCGGGCCGCAGAATTATTTAACGACAATTATTTGACGATATTTAATTGTCCGTGTAAAATATATTCATACGCATAAATGCCGATACCGTTGGCTACTTTTATTTTATTTTCAAAACAGGCTGTAGAATTATTTGGCAATATTGTCCATTCATCACGATCCCTATTGTCTCGAATAGCGTATAATGCGCGCAGAAATTGCGCCAGCGCACGCCGAGCTTGAGGTATCCTCGCTCGCGTGCCTTTGAATATCGCGATCGCGGTTATCAATATACGCGTATTTTACCTGCGCTGCTAACAAAGAAAGCTTAAATTCTCATTTCGTCAAAATATCCCGAACATAAGCTTCGTCGTGACGGAACTATCATGCGTAAAAACTTTGCCCCGCTCTCTCTCTTTGCGCTCCCTCGGGGTGACCGGTTTCTGATTGTCTAATCTTTCGTCGCATGCATTCGCGAATATTTCACTCGTAGATATCGATACTCCCGCATTTTCGCGACTTTTCAGACGCGATCGCGAAAAGCGCCGTCAAAATCCGTTGGACGAGTCGATAAATTTTCACACGGTTCTTGCTGCTCGCCGATCGAGTTTATAGAGTCCGTTTCGCAGCGCGTAAAAAGTTTCCACCGATATCGATGTAAAATTCGTTAATTGACGAAAATATCGCCGCTCTAATACAAGTATCGACCGCGTCACGGAAGTGTGGCGAAAGTGTAGCAATCAACGTGGGACGCTCTGCAAGATGGATGCTGCGCGACATGGAGAACGGCAACGGACATGGGTGGACATTGGTGGGTCCAGTTGGATGCAACGGGACATCATCAATATCATCATCGGTGAGCGTTTGACTCAATGCTCGCAGAGAGCTCTTTTATTATTACATTGTGCATGCCGCAAATTTGCATTGACTTTTGTAACGAAAAATATATTCTATGAATTATTGCCATATATTATGGCCATATATTATTGCCATATATTGTTGCCGTATATTGTTGCCATATATTATTGCCACATATTGCCATGTATTATCGCCATATATTATGGCCACTTGAAATCGCGCGAGCAATCGAGAAAACTATGAATTTGCCGATAATCGCAAAGGCGCGCGGCAGACGTCACGAATGGATGTCAGCAGCCCGTCTCAGGGCTGCCCGATAACAATGCTGTTGCTGCAATTTAACTTTAAACCACAGCGGTCTCAGGTCGCAGGAAACTTTCTATCGCGGACTAACCCCTCGAGCGGAATGTTCCCGAGAAGTGCTCTTGACATAAACGCTGGTTATAAGCGAACTGTCGAACTTGCCTTGTTAGAGCCTCGTCGCGGTATCGTTGTCGCGGAAAATAAGAAAGAAAGGAGTTAAATATCCGCACCGTTGTGAAAAGAGGGGCGATGGCGTCCCTTCGTGAGTAAAATGTTAGGCTCTTGCGAACGCGAACGTTAAATTCCACCGCGGCTGCAAACGTCCCCCGACTAGTTTCTTCGCGGAAACTGAATCTTCATAACTTGCGCTTGATCGTGCGTTGAGACTCTATCGAGGATGGGATATTGAAGCGGGAGTTGATGATATAAGCGTGACAAAGTAGTCGCGCATTTTATGATCGCTCTTTAAAATGAGCGCTTCTTTCGTCGATGATAAAGACAAGAAGAAATCAAAGCCTGCTGTCGGTGAGGTCGTAAAAACCGCATGGATTTTCTTTCCGCAGCTGCTCCCGCGGCTGTTTAATTCGCATTATGATCATTTGTGCGGATGAGTATGGGGAAAGTGACATCCGCGGATAATCTTTGTCCTCTGAACGTCTCGTAAACTTTTCCATCTCTTTTACGCAAGTTCGTCGCTCGTGCTTGATAAAAAATGTCCCGAGACGTGCCTACGAAAAATGTTGTACGTGGAGAATACTCAGCGCACGTACCATCTTGAAATGAAATACCGCGAAGGAAACTATTCTCGTTCCTCCAACTTGCGCTATACAAGTTTCGGGATCCATAAAAATTTCAAGATCAGATACTGCTTATTTGAAGAAAATTTTTAGACATTCTCTGTAAGAACCTGAAGAGCGAGTATCGATTTTTTTCGAAAGATTCGAGATGCAAATCCAAATGTGTTATTTATACGCATACGAGCGTACGATTGGCTGAGGCTTTTTTTGGGGGCGAGTTTTGTCGTTTCAGATTTCGCGAGAATCGTGTGAAGAAAGCTTGAGCTAATTACACTCTCACGCATGTAAAAACAACACACTCGAATTTTGCAGCGACGACATAGCGGGGATATTTAGTGAGTACTACCTTGAAATTTCCGATTAAATGATATTTCTCGTCAGCCGTTGTTCTGTCGTCTAGCCCCGTCTCTTTCGCCCGGGTGCCTCACCGTTACTCGTGTTTTACTTCACCGGCGGCTTGTCCTTCTTCTTCTTTTTGCGCGCTGGCAACTGTCGTTAGATCATGTGGGCCGCGTTTAGCTCGAGCAGCTTCGTTACTTTTTCGATACCATCTCGGCGCGTGCTCATTCGTTACATTTCTGTAATTAATAGCTCGGTTGTTGCGTACATCATAAAATAGTATGGGAATTTTATATTTATCTTAATCCGTTCTATGTCTTCGTGAATTCCTAGAAGCGAGGAATTTGTGAAACACTCTGTACATATGTTTCCGATCGCAATTTTAGTATTATTTCAACTTCGAATTATTAACTTGAGGAATGCCAATGTGTGTATATATGTATAAAATAAAAATTATTCTAAATGTTCTCATGTCTCGCAATCCTAAGATACATACACATATACATCGGCCTGTTTTCTGTATTAATAGTCTTTGATATCTTCCGATATGTACATACATATTTTGAAACATTTTTTTTGGATATTATATCAAACGGATTTTGTGCGTGTCACGTAATATCCTTCGGATACCTACACGGACATTATTATTTTGATCATTTTGATTTCTTTGATATTCATTAAGAATTATCCAGAATGCAACGGCCATGTTGAACGACTCAATTGTCAAAGTGTGAAATGTTTCGATTTTCACAAATTCATATAAAATTTTTCATTTTTCACTAATTCACAGAAGTCTTTCACTTTTCACTACACAGTTCACGCTAGGGAAAATATTCATGATCGCTGCCCTGAGCAGCTGTAACGCTTCTCCAATCATCTATGTCGGCGCGTTCCTACTCCTCAGATTTCTGTCATTAATAACTCTATAATTATTGCGAATCTCGCAAAACGGTATGGGACTTTCATGTTTGTCTTAAACCCAATCTATCCTCACACTTCGGGTTGGCAACCAATTACCGGATACTTCGTATGATCTTCATGATATTAATCATACACAATGCCAATTCCTTTTTTGCACATGTTAACATGTTAATTCATGTTATAAACGCGTAATAACGCGAGACCGTGCTTGTCAAGTACGCTATTATGGTTGTTAACATGGACTGCCACCACATGCAGGTTTTACCGCCGAAACCTGAAAGTGGATCGTACCATCGTAGTTCCCTCTCAAAATGGATGCAGATGGCGCTCTTTCCTAGTGCGGAAAGTCGGTGTTGCCGTGTTGGCCGCTCTCATGTTCCTCTCTGCTTTAAGTTTTAAAACTAGTACAGTGAAAGTAACGTCGTTCGGAAAGCAGCACCTAAGGTATTGGCTGCGTTCAATAGAACAAAATTATCAGTGAGCGCTTAGTGATTATTGTCTGTGATTGGAGCATTCTTTTAGATACTTCATAGACCCAGAAGTATTTACCAATCAGGAGCGAGATTCAATAGAAAATCTAGTAATGTTGTCCAACTGTTGAGTCTGCTGAATGCAGCCAAAGTCTCTTTTTCGCATTCCAATTTAAAAAAAATTATTGTGGAAACATAAAAAATAATTTGTTCGGCCTTGGGCGAAGAATGTCCCAGACAACCATAAAAAATTGAAGATGAAGAATTGCAGCAACTATTGAACAAAAATCCTTGTCAGACACAAAAGGAGTTTGTTGAAGAATTGGGAGTCAGTCACTCAACCGGCTATTTTTATACATTTAAAGAAGCTCGGAAGAATACAGAAGATCGTTGAGTTCCTCACAGCTTTACTCTTGAAAACCATTATGTCAAAAGGCCGAGAATTAATTTATACATCTAAGCGAAAATTATTTTTTTAGCAGAAATGATATTCTACGTACATATACGCAAATAATTTATTTATAATAAAATATAAAAAGAAAAAATCATACGTTTCCCAATAAATTTATATTTGTATAATAATCATTCTTATTGTAAGTATAAACAATATATAAAAGGTTACATATTATATGTGTATATATATGTGAGTATATTACATATTTTCTGTTGTTAAATGTCACTTTTATTATAATATTTCAGATAAACATGGTTTGCATATGCTTTTCGTTATTGAAATACCAAATTAAAATCTTAACATAACAGCCGAATAGTTATTGCTGCTCATCCATGTAGTTGAATTCCTGCAACAATACTCACGTTTGTTCTCTCCCCGTTTTTATCATACATGATGGCTGATAATTGATGGTGATGTTTTACGCTCAGTAACTCAAACGCGTGTGCAAAGTAATATGTAGTTGTCGCGGGTAATAAGTCACGTAATAAATTGTTACTTGATGTTAGTTTTTAGACTTTCGCGGCCATTGATACAATCAGGGTGTTTTTTCCGGATGGATACCATGTTGTAATTCAGCTTTGTGCCGACGTTTCGCAAACACTGCAGCTTGCTGCAATTCATTATCGGAGCTCCTAGTTCTGATGATGCAATGTTTGCGAAACGTCAGTACAAAGCTGAATTACGACGCGGTATCCATCCGGAAGAAACACACTCTGATTGTTACCTGATGTATTAATTATAGTAAATGACTAAGCACAAAGCAAAAATGTATAATAAAAGCTATGGTTTGATGAACCTATAAAAATGATATACTTATATACAAATGTATACATATATATATATGCATCAGATTCTTCTTGCACATGCTTTTGAGGTAAATGAAATGAAATTAGATGGACAAGTATGAAACAAATACTGATGCAAGAGTCTTAAAACATTCCAGGACATGAAAATATTAGAAGATATTCATAGAATCCTTATCAACCTTAAAACTTCCTCTTTTGTTAGAACTTTTAATCTTGAATAATATTTTAAGATTCTTAAGACTTGTTTACAATAGCTGTAAGAGTAAAGCTGTAACATAAGCTGTCAGCAAATGAAAATATTTCATTTTGTGTCTTGCAACCTTACAGGCTTACTCTTACATCTAATGTAGACGAGACTTTAGACATAAAAGACTTAAAATATCCTATCTTTTTTATTCTAATCTTATTTTTTTAATCACTCAGTCATTCCTTTGTCATTGTTTTCGTTTTGAAAGAAAGTAAATATTAAACATTTGTGTCAAACAGGATTGTGATATAAATACGTGATTAAAAATGTCTTAAATGTCAAAATAATGCATTCAATATTAATATATTTGTACGTAATTATATACTGTACGTTACAGTTAGTAACAGTTATTATAATTATAGTTAGTAATAGTATAGTAACAGTTATGTAACTGTATTACAACAGTACTCTCAAACATAAATAGTAATTGCATAATAACATTAATTTGCGTGAAATCATAAAAGAAGAAAACATGAGATCTTCTAAACGTTTTGTGTTAGCGTTAGAGATCTTTCACACGGAAAAGAACGCGGTAACACACATTCATTGGTAATTACACGTAAACTTTTTGTTTTACTAGATGTTGAAGAATTTTTTCATTCAAATAGTGAATATTTACATTCACATTCCTTGAGAGTTTCGTTATGAGCGGAATGAGTTTCGAATGAGCGGAATTCCTTTACCTTTTCCCGTCTCGTAATATTCACAATATTACCCACTACATTATATTTTATTTAACGATAATTATGTAATATATATGAATTGTTTTATTAGTCCCATTTTTATTAATCCCATTTACATAAAACATGATTTGTTTCTAATGCAATATACCTGAATCGACTTCAATATAGTGTAAGTTTAATCCATTTTTTTTTGTACCTTTAATAATGTTCTGTATCCGATCGTTGCAAGCACACCAAAGCCGAACATAAGTAAATAAGGCAAATATTTCATGCCCGGAATACCTGCCCTTTTCTTCAATAATTGTTTAAGTATATTCATCTTTGTATCAGAATATGGTGGATAACGGCATCTGTAAAGCAAATTTTTGTGTTTAGTTATTGACAAATTAAAGTATTTTACTCATACTTATACCATTATGATAATAGGGAGAGAAAGAGAAGAGGGAGAGATGTGTGAAAAAAAGAAAATTCACTAACTGAGCCAAATTCTCTCCCAGTGTGTTGTAAGTCCGATACAAACAACCCTTTTGGTGCGTAAACGTGTCAAACGAATATTTTCCGTGATAGGCTCCCATACCAGAGTTTCCTATTCCTCCAAAAGGCAAGGTTTCAACTGTGAAACGAATAACATAAGTTTTTGAAATAACATAGGACAATAAATATAATAAATAATATATTACTCAACATTATATATAGTATTTAAATATAATTAAATATTATTTGTAATATATATTCATTAACGTAATTAATATAATTGCAGCAATAATGCAATACTAAAATTACTGTAATAGAGAAATAGAATTAAAGTAATTGTATAAATATAGTTACATCTAATGTCTTTATAGTATAATTTGCATACGTCATAAGTTTTAGTACATAACATTGAAGCATTACAATTAGTAAAAAGCAAAATTATACTGGACTCACAAAGAAATTATTTATATATATTTTAAAATATAAAATATCTGCCATATGCAATATTGTATTATTAAGTAATAAATATAATAAATAATATATTACTCAACATTATATATAGTATTTAAATATGGTAATTATGCAAAATAGGTACTTTTTCGAATTTTGAAATTTTTTGTTGCTAATGTGGTAAAAATTTTTGTTGTGACTCCAAAAGTAATAATGAATCGGGGGAGCCCGAAAAGTATGCAACCAACATATTTATCAAGCATATGTACATACACACACAACACACATACACACCGAAGGGGGCGTGCGGGGGGGCCTTCGGCCTCCCACCCGCACCCCCCCTCGAGGGTCAACGGGTGAAACTCGCTTCATATGGAAAGTCACATGTGAGTTTGCGACTTATTGCGACTTTCCACGTGAAGCGAGTTTCATCCGTTAACCCTCGAGGGGGGTGCGGGTAGACGGCCGAAGGCCCCCCCGCACGCCCCCTTCGGTGTATGTGTGTACACATGCTCGGTGCAAATTCTTATCACTAACTTCATTTGTTAGTAACTTTTTAACGAACAGTAAGCACGGACTAAAACTTTTTGCATGTTACTCGGGAGGGTGTTCTTGATAAAATATATAAAATTCAAGGTCATCAAAAGTGGGTCCCCTTAACCCCATATTTACCATTAAAACATATATTAGTCTATTTTCATCGAAATTGGAGGTGCTGTAGCCTTTTGACAAGTTTACCACAAATTGTTAAAAAAAATATGTAGGTTGCATATTTTTCGGGCTTCCCCGATTCATTATTACTTTTGGAGTCACAACAAAAATTTTTACCACAATAGCAGCAAAAAAATCTCAAAATTCGAAAAAATATCTATTCTGCATAATTACCTTAAATATAATTAAATATTATTTGTAATATATATTCATTAACATAATTAATATAATTGCAACAATAATACAATACTAAAATTATTCTAATAGAGAAATAGAATTAAAGTAATTGTATAAATATAGTTATATCTAATGTCCTTATAGTATAATTTAATTTGCATATGTCACAATGTCATTAAGTAAAACACTGCTAGTAGATGTCGATTAACCGTCAATTAAGATTGATATGTCCTTTTTGATTTGGCTAAATATATACAGTACTAATGGTTTCTCCCTGAACGTATCAAAGAAGTAACGTAATTATGTCAATGTCGTCTGTTTTTTTTTTTGGAATAGGTTATATGTCATATTGTGTACAGTAGTAACAAAAAATATGTATATTTGGTACTACACATTGTGGTATCGTTAAGTCTGATGTTGCAATTTTTTATTACTTTGGAATATTGTGTTTTATATCGTGTAGATATGTTACTATTCTTTATTCATTTTTAAATGATCAATTTGAGAATGATATTCCAATTGAATATTTGTTATTATTATCAAAATGTCAAACCATCATAATATAATTTTTATATTATGATGGTTCTCGAATTATATATACTATTTAAATAATTAGGTCAGTATGTGTCAAAATTTATCAACATTATAAATTAATCAAACGTTAGATTTATCAAATTACACAATTCTATTACAAAGTCTTTTGTTAACAAATATAATGTGCAGTTATGATAGAATAAAATGCTCACATAAAGGATACATGCATCTGTCATTGTTTATCTAAGAAGCTAATATTACTATTATTAAAAGCTGAAGAAAAAGAAGAAATATGCATGATAGATCTAAACAGGAAAGAGGAAATATGGAAGGAAAGATAAAAGGATATTTTCTTCACTTCGATTAATTCAACATATAACAAATATAGTTCATACAAATTTCTACTGAACTGAAATTTCTACTCTACTGAAAAAAATTCTACTGAACATCCATGCATGACAAAAAATATAAATCTTTCAATAAGTTTGACATTCCCAAAAACCCCCAATAATTATATCATTCAAATATATTAAAAAAAAATTCGAAATGTCTAATGAGACTATATCAGATTTCATATTAAAGATCGATGATCGTCGAAACGAATTAACGATTGAGACTTAATTAATCATATAGTCTCAATTTCGATTCATTTGGTTTGGATTAGCTAAATTTTAATTTCTAATTCATAGTCTTCAAATTCTAATATAGAATCTGATATAAATCTTGCTAATTTCTGGTTAACTTTTAGATCTCCGATCTCTAACACGAAATCTGATGCAGTTTTACTAAAGACATTTCGAATCTTTTTTTAAATGTATTTAAACAATGTATTTATTGGAATATTTTTGAATGTCAAGCCTGTTGAAAAAATAATATTGTTTTCAGTATTTTTCAACTAGTAAGTACCTGAAACTTATTTTAGCAGCTTACTCGTATAAGTTACAAAGATACAAAGGACAAAAGATTGTAACAAGAAATTACAAATCATGCTTAAATTATTTAATTACGCTTAAAAATATTAGATAACGATAAAACTATCGCAAGAGCCACTATCATTTCGATCTGGACTCACCGATAAAATGCATTAATGTATCATTAACGCATACTCCTCCGCTACGAGTTTGGTTGATAATGAGATCTCGTACCCCTTTATTCTTCGAAAATATGTATAACACGAGTGGATTTTCACTAGACTCGAAAAATTTATTAATTCGATATTGTTTTTCCATACAACATGACAACATGACAAAGCCATATTATAGAAACATGAGAGAAGTATGTAGAACAAAAGAAAAAGGATGTAACTCAGGAACACTTTTTTCAATTCTACACACAATTTTCACATATGATATGCACAGAATTGCAATATTATCTAAAATAATAATTTCAGAGTATTTTTGTATTAATGTCCATTAGCTTTCAATAATGTCATTTCTTAAACTCAAAACTCAAGCCAAACAGCTTTTCTTTGCGACAGTTCATAAGGTGACAATTGTCAAATAAGATCTAGCCAATCAGCGCCGTTTTTGACATGACCGCATATTTATGTTAACGCTTTGCCGTTACATTTCTGTACATGTCGTTAAATATACTTCATAGATTTAGCAAACAAAACATGGTCAGTTTGATTTTGCAGATTTATTAACTCATTAAATGTTGCAAAAAATGGCTCACGTATTTTTCAATTTGCTTCTTGACAAGGAATATCGCAATATAAATAATTAAGGTATTAATTAAAGAACGTTATATAGAAAATACGCATGCAAATGATTAAATAATTAGTTGCAAAATCAGACTTAAAAATAAATGATATTTTCGATAAATTTGTATGATACGTGATGTTGAACGTTCAGTTATAGAATATATAGAAAACAATATCTATATTCAAACAACTTACCGCTTGTTGATGAATTCAATTGCTTCGTATGCGTTGTTGACATTTACTATTGGCAATATCGGCCCGAATATCTCGTGTTGCATGACAGAATCCGTCGATTTAACATCAACGAGTACTGTAGGCTCAATATATTTTTCTGTAGAATTTACATTACCGCCCACAACAATTTTACCGTTGTCTAAGAGATCAACAAGTCGCCTAAAATTAGGATAAAGATATTCGTTTCGTGTGAAATTTCGTTGAATTTGGAATAACCGAGAAACGTTTACAAACGTTTGTAAATGTTTCTCGGTTATTTCAACGTCGACTTGTGTAAAACTCTATAAAACGCATATTTGAATCAATTATAGTTATCAGCGTTTGTATCACAAAACTCACTGATAATGTTTGTCCGTGACTATGCGCACAAGGTCGGCACTCTCTTGTGGATTTTCACCATACCATTCCTTCAGGATTTTCTTAGCGTTATCGATAAATTTGTCCTGCACCTCCGGCGTGCAAAGAATGTAATCAGGAGCGATGCAGGTTTGACCGCTGTTTATGCATTTACCCCACAAAATGCGTTTTGTCGCTATTTCTATGTTCACTGTGTTGTCTATATATACAGGACTGTAATTTGTTAACGATCAATGCAACCTCATTCGCATTTGCACGAAATTTGTACAAAAAAGTCAACATACTTTATTTTCGACACATTTCAGAAGAAACGTATTTCACGTAATAAAAACGTAATAAAAACGTAATAAAAACGTAATAAAAACGTAATAAGAAAAAATCTATTATCTTCTAATATCTTCTAATAGAATTTCTTGCTGTGAATTGCTGTAGTTTAAAGTGCAACGAAAACGTTAGAACCGGTTGTTAAAGTACAATAAAGGAAAAAATGTCATATCGTCAACCTTCGAACCCGCGATAGCATATCTAGTTTTAGCTGACACATCGTTTACCCACCTCTTCCCACCCAACTCCAATGTAACGGGTGTGAGATGTTTATTGGCAGCCTCGCGCACAATTTTTCCGACCGTGGCAGACCCGGTGTAAAAGATATAATCGAAACGTTGCTTGAGTATCTCCGTCGTCTCAGAGACTCCTCCAGCCAATACATGGTAACATTCCTATTCGCAAATAGCACGATTGATTAGATGGTCCGCTTTTTTTACAAGAAATGTAAATTAATGGCAACGTTCGTATACGTACCGTGTCCAAATACTTCGGGATGGTCTCACACAAATATCTTGAGGATGCCGATGCCACTTCGGATGGCTTCAGGATTACGCAATTGCCAGCCGCAATCGCACCCACCATAGGAGTCAACGTCAGCTGAATTGGATAATTCCATGCGCCAATGATCAGTACAACTCCGTAAGGGTCCTTCCGGATATCCATCGAGTCGAAAATGAACGCCAGACCCTTCGAAGGCTGTAACAGTTGCATTTCAAAGCGCTTTGCTTTTCATACTGTATATTTAGATATTCAAGCTGACGGAAAAAAAAGCAGAATAGTCGATATAAATAATTACATGTATGAGTATGAATATTCACCTTCTCCACTGCTGCCCATTCTTTAATATGCATAAGAGTGTATTTAATGTCTTGTATTACATATTCGATTTCGGTAATGTACGTCTCAAATTTGGACTAAAATATATCAGTTGAAATCCATTAGTACAAAAATATCGAGATTATGCAGTTGTCTGTTTTTAAAATTACATAACTACATACTTTACGTAAGTCCTCTTCTAATGCAGCCGTGATACTCGACGAGGTCTCCTTCAACATACGTAGAAGCTGATTCAGTTGCTTGATTCTCCATTCTATCGGTTTTGTTTTTCCACTGTTGTAAGCATCCCGCGTCTGTTGGACCAACTGTGACGATAAGAGATTATATTTAGATCGATATTATATCTCAAATTTATCTAATTCAGACACTTGGAAAGTAATGTTTAGTAGATTTCATTTCGTTCAAATTGCAAATCAAATGTAAATGCGATTTTATGAAAGCAATTTTTAAAAATACTTACGTCATTATAATTCGTCGTTTTCTTGCCGTTTGTATAGGCTATAACAAAGAAACATTTTCAATTCGCGGCTCGGCTCACATAAGAGAGAAAGAAAAGTGTAGCTAAATTTAGTCCTTATTTAAATAACAACAAGGTTTATTCAAATTAAATGTACATGTCAATAAGCCAATCGTGTGTATTGTTATTAAAATAAGAGGTTAAGGTACAACCTATATAAATATGACTGAATCTTATGAAGATGTACTACTGATAAATGTAAGCCCATGTTTCTACTTGGTACAACTACTATATACAATATTAATAGTGTTTTTAACTAATTTATAAATCAGTTTTTTCATCATATTTTTCTTGTTTTTATTTATCACATAAGAATATGATAGAAGATCAATAATTATACCATATACTCTCGTTTGAATTTCGGTCATAATTCATTCCAATACAATATGAATATTTAACATTTTGTTGTTCGAAAGCTATTAAAATTAGTTTTAATATTAACGGCGATAGTATGGGAGATATTAGGAGAGAGAGCATATATCGTTTTGGATATATTATCTACACAATATTAAATCTGGTAATGTTGACCACGGACATAAGTAAGGAATACTTGCTGAAATTTTGTATGGTTTTACAAGTCATCTTAGATATGTCTAAAAGATCTTCTATTTACTTTAAATATATTTCCATTCTAAATCTTTTAATTTCTAAGAAATATTTTATTACACATTTTGCTTTTGTTTTATCATAGTCAGGCAAATTTCTGAAGAAAGAAACAACTTGATAACATCAATTACGAAGTAATGTATCCTATTTTGTTCTTGCTTCTGCTATGTATTTAAAATCCAATTAAGATTCAAACTCAAGTGAACGTGAATTTGTGACAAATTGGATTGAATCATTTTCAGAATGATTCAAGCTCATTTTAGTCGAAAACGCTAGGTACATAGAACATGAATATAATAAAAATTCAATTTATTATTGATTTTCGTTCTATAACTGTAATGTTAGAAAAATGATAGGAAAAATGTATGATGCAATCAAAACTCTGCAAAGTAAACGAGACAACTACATTACACACAAACTGGCCTGTCTGACGATGTAAATAGCAGAATGTACATATCAAGGTGAAAATCTAAAAGAAACCTGATCGCAAATTATGCAATTACTTTTTTTCACCTATATTATACATGCAAACTGATCGAAGATATAAGATGATTTAATGATATACTGATGATAAATTATCATTTCCTCCAAGCCACTTGACCGAAGTCCAAATATAGTGGAAAAGTTTATTTCAAAGGCTGTGGGCGAGCACAGACTTCTGCATAACGCATAATACACAATGTATAAGAGAATCAACAAATCAGAGTTCTTCATTTCTGTCCTGAGGAGGGAAATGAAGAACTCTGATTGGTTGATTCTCTTATGCGTTGTGTATCATATGTTATGCAGAAGTCTGTGCTCTGGTCCTATCTGGCATAAGGGAAAGATAATTTCAATGTTGACAGACACGTGTCATCATAATCAAGCTTCGTTAAAAATAATTATTAAACTATTCAAATATCCTGAAGATACATATTCCTTTATGATTTATCATGACTTTATGTTGTATTTATTATTTACATAGTATTACTTAGTAATTCTTTATGATGAGTTTTCTTCTTTTCAGTGAAATGATCCATAGTTCGGATATAATGTAAAGTATAAAAGAAGTCCTAATACATCAATAAAAATAACTCATGTTTTTTTCAAAAAATTTTCAAACATGGTTTACAAATTGCTATTATTAATCAAATGAAATTCATTATTTTACTTCTATTAAGTCCATATCAAATCATATATTAGAGACTGAGGATTACTGATAGAAAATTGGAACTTGACTAATCAGGACAGAGTGGAAGGTGAAAAAAGAACAAAATAAGGGAAGAAGATTTAGAATTAATCAATGTGTCTTTTTTTCAATCTGTAATTTATAATTCTCAATTTCTAATATTAAATCTGACATAGGCTTTGCACAACGTTTTGATCTATCAAGTCTAAGAAGAAAGATTAATAAGGTTCCATACATGTTAAAATAAATGAACTTTTGAAAATCATTCATATCCTATTGTGATGAATTTTGCTGAAAATACTTCAAATTATCTCAAATAAATAAATGAAAATCTTAAATTCCTTAAATTTTCACTGACAAAGAAATTTAATATTAAAACAGTTTAAATAACATATAATCATATATAATAAATATATAACAAATAACATATAATATCATATATCGCTGATAATATTGTGTTCATATATTTGATTATTTTGTACCCTAGTGATTTAATTTTTCTTAGCACAAATATAAAAGATAGAATAATCATATTGCAGAGTTAGAAAAAGTTAAATTAATTTAAATAAGTATTTATATATAGTTTAAATAAGTACTCAATAAGTATTAAATAAGTATAAATTTTATTAACATATCACAATATATTAATAAATTTGAAAAAAGTAGTATAATATTAATAAAAATATATAATATTGAATACTTTTAGCATTAAATTTACAGCAATTAAGTAGGTATGGCTGGTTTTTGGAAGTTTATTTTTGTCAAAATTTCTATCTTCACAGTTTACCAGCTGTTATTCTATAATTGATAATATTAATATAAAAATAGACTATAATAAAAGAATATTAACACATCAAGTTATTCTATTCTAGAGCTCTTCACAAGAGACTCAACCTAAAATGGTAACTTAATATATTAAGAGGTTGTTATATTAATTTTGTTGATATGAGATATCATTCTTTTTCTGAAAAATAACTTAAGATGATAACTATTTCAAAATTTTCCCTAAGTAAATTACCATCATCTTTATTCTTTTTTTTACATTTATAGTGTGTTTAACTTTTAACTTAATGCTCAATAAAGTCAAATCCTAGACAGCACATGTTTTCCTGGGGACATCCTAAGGATGTCCTGAGGAAGAAACGTCCCCAGGATATCCTCAAGACATACTCTGGACATCTGTGCTGTTAGGGATAAAATTATAATAGTAGAAATAACGAATGAATACAAAGTGACGAGTCAGTTTAACACTTCCAAGATATCAATAAAAAAAAATACATTTGAAATACGTTGCAAGCGGAACACGTTCGTCATACATAGCTATAAATCTAAATTCATTGCCATGTTTCCTTCCGCAACCTTGTATATACGAGGCCATCAGTATATAAGAGATGAAATGGTAGAAATTATAACATCTTACCCATAGCGACGTAGTTACGCAGTTCTTCCGATTATTATTTGACAACTATCAAACTTAACAAAGCAGGCACAGAGATTGTATGATCACCACGATGACCAAGTATAAACGCGATATGATACACTACTGAGCCCGAGAACGTAATGTAAAGAGTAAAAAGCACAGTGCATGATAATGTTCAGTAATTTGCTATATAGCAACATAACAGGAGAAACAGGGAAGGGGACAGTGACGTATCGGAACCACTGAACATATACTAACTCAGAGCTCAGATTCTCACTAGCTCAGAGCTCGGCAAAAAATGCACGCGACGGCCGATTTTCGATTATCTCCGCCCACCGCTGTTCCCTTTACCTCGCCACTCTGTATGCTGTCTACAAGCCGCTCGAGCCTCAGGAGCGTGTTTCCAACAGTTTTCCACGTCACCCATGAGGTACTATTGTTGACGCGTTTTTTTTTAAGTGGTATCCCCAGTAGGCCTAATCCACTGATGACTGTAACAACCCGTAACTAATTGAACAGAAGCGAAATAAAATATGTTAAATGAAGAATATTTAATTCGATTTTCGGCGTCTTTTATTAGTAAGAGCGGAAACGTCAATTTGCATATTGCATGTAGCGAGCCGCATAAGACGTGGTAAGGAATCGTCGTTTAAAGAAGAACGCTTCTCATTTTTTATAAACTTCATTTTTGAAAATGAAGTTTATAAAAATTTTTGAAAATGAAGTTTATAAAAAATGAGAAGCGTTCTTCTTTAAACGACGATTCCTTACCACGCCTTATGCGGCTCGCTACATGCAATATGCAAATTGACGTTTCCGCTCTTACTAATAAAAGACGCCGAAAATCGAATTAAATATTCTTCATTTAACATATTTTATTTCGCTTCTGTTCAATTAGTTACGGGTTGTTACAGTCATCAGTGAATTAGGCCTACTGGGGATACCACTTAAAAAAAAACGCGTCAACAATAGTACCTCATGGGTGACGTGGAGAACTGTTGGAAACACGCTCCTGAGGCTCGAGCGGCTTGTAGACAGCATACAGAGTGGCGAGGTAAAGGGAACAGCGGTGGGCGGAGATAGTCGAAAATCGGCCGTCGCGTGCATTTTTTGTCAAGCTCTGTACTAACTGAAACGAGCTGAGGTGCGAATAGAGAGAGAGCGTCACTGGGTCTCTAAGATAGCACTGTCTTTATCTAGTATAGTCCGAATCAAAAGCTAAATTGGTTTCTATATATCTATATACTATATCATTCTATATACATTTCTATATACATATCATTCTATATACATATAAGCAGGGTCCGTTTGACGTTGCAAATGCTATTTTTTTTTTAATTTTCTATCTACAATCTTTTTATAACTTTTATAATTTCTCGCTCTTCTTTCACTCTTTCACTCTTTCATTTCTTTCACTCTTTACTTTCAGTGACTAACTTTTTCATTGACTGTACCTTCTTATCCCCATTTTTGACGACATTGTAAGCCAGACAAGGATAAGAGAGGAACCAGGGAACCTCTCTCTCTATTCGCACGCAAACAATAGAATCGTACACCAACACTCGTTCCAGTTAATATATATTTTAGTGATTGGAACTGACATACGTAACGAAATATGCGGAGTACGCTTCATACTTCAGAACGGATCTCGACGGATATGCGCAGTCGCGTTGTTGATAGCGGTGGAATGCGCGCTGACGGATCGATATTCACAATCTGACCTTATACTTGACATCGTTACGAATAAATACTGCACGAGTCGTTTTTATTGGTTATAAAGATTCTTAAGATGGACTTCAGAAGCTAGTCTTGAATATTATCGAGCTGTAATGCTGTCCGTAGAAAGCATTCGTAGCATCAGGTGGAACATATTCGTATCATCTCATAGAAATGAAATGTACTTTGTTCATCGATGAGATGAGAGGATAGATAGCCAACTTTGGATAAATTATGTTTAAAGTCCATTCTAATTCCCATTTAATAAAATTATGTTTAAATTTCATTAATTGCAAGTCTAAGGGCCGGTTGTTCCAACTTGTCGGTAAGTTAACCGATAGTTAAATTATACGTTTGTCTTTGTTTTTCCTTCAACTTGGACAAAGACAGATATATGATTTAACTTTGTCATAATTTCTCATAGAAATGAAATGTACTTTGTTCATCGATGTTTGTCAGTTAACTTACCAAGAAGTTGGAACAACCGACCCATAAAATCGCAAGCAAATCGGCCAATCACGGTTGATCGTTCTTCTCGTGATCGGAGATTAAGCGACTGTGATTGGTCAAATTATTCGCGAAGTTGCGACCTGCGACTAAGGCTGCGTTCCGATATTCACTGCCAGCACTGAAAATCTATAGTATACGTGACACAAACTGTGTATTTTCAATACTGGCAGTGAATCGGAACGCAGCCTTAATGTAGAATGATTTAAAAGTGATATAGACCTATAATAAGACGTTAGTCACCCCGCTTAACATTATTAATTATTAATGAAGAACGATAATATATTATTGACAATCTTAAATACAAATGTGCATAATAAATTGATTTTACAGTTTGCAATTATACATATATTTACGAAAACTCATTCCTGTAATTATTATCTATTCTGACTTGATGTAAAATTTACAGGAAAGTATTAAACGATGTAATGTTTCGCCTATTTTGTATCCTATAAGGTTATTTTGTATTTTATAAGGTTATTCATTAGATAATATTTATTATTATCTATTTCACCATTTTTTTCTGTTTCACTAACCCAGATAGCACCGGACATCCAATGGATGTACGTTTCACGTCCAATTTATGTCCGTATGTCCGATTTACGTCCGTGGACATAAATTGGACGTAACAAGGATGTCCTTATTTGGACATCGGACCTGTAGGACGTCCGATGTACATCCATCGGACGTTCATGTCCGATGGATGTCCGAAGTTGTGACAAACGTACGTCCTATGGACGTCTTTTGTAAAAAAAATGGACATATAACGGATGTCCAGTGGACGTCCGTGTGCTATCTGGGAAGTAGTCGGAACTGTGAAAGAAATAAAATTTATATCGGATACATTTATTTCAAATTTGCATAAATGAGTAATAAATTTATATATATAAAAAATAATTATCACATATCAAATGTAAGGATATTATAAAACTAGTTGATTTTTTCAAAATTATTAGCTGGTTTACTTAGAACAGATATTTGCAATAAAAGTTTCGACACTTCTTATTTTGATGGATTCTTATTAGGTTAGTTAACAGCTCTGTGAATAATCTGACGCTTTACCTGTGCCAATAGTCGTCTAAAAGAAAACTTTGCAATCATGTCTACATATATGTAGCTGATTTCACATACTTAAATTATGGACATTTTAATGAATCGGTTAAAGGAATAGTAAAGCGTGTCAGTCACTAATGAATTCTCTCGAAGGTCGAATACCTAGAATTAATGTAAAAAAAGTGGAAGGTTCATTCTATTAAATTTCTTTTCTTAAGACCTGAGATTTAAATAGTGAGAAAATTGACTATTATTCGTGATAAAAAATCGTCGAAGATATCAGACTGCTGTTTTCAAAAATTCTCTATTATGATTAATTTATTACCCAATTGTCTAAGATCTATTGCTTTCGTTTTTTATACATTTTACCAACCTATGAACTAATGAATCAAACAAATTTGTATAATTGAATAATGTACATATACAGGTACATATGTAGGTCCGTTGCATGCGAAATGAAACTTGCGGGAAAATAACATATCTGATGTGATCTGATATGATATATTATTCGAGCAACTTAAATTATAATAATTAACATAAATTATAATATAATAGTTATAATAGTAGTTGGCCATTATAGATTCATATGAATAATATCGATCCAATGTTTTGTGCTGCTTAGATATATCCTCAGATTTCATCGTGAAAATTTAGAGTGTAGTTTGGTATTTGTATGATCTTTGATCGCAAACATCTATATTTTTGTATTTATTAATATTAATATTTTTATTAATATTATATTTATTAATATTAATATATCATTCGTATTTGAACTACATAATTATATGCGCAATTGATTTAGTTGATATAACGTACGAACATTTATAATTATTTTTTATAGACATTATTTTGGATGTTTGATGCATTTATGAGACATGTGTTCATGAAGGACCTTTTCATTTACTACTCATTTTAATGTGGTACATAATTAATTAAGTAATCTTGATTAAATAAATGTTACTTCAAAGTAAATTATAAAATGGAATACAGCTATTATACATATACATTTTTGTAAAACACTTCACTCACTGTTAATTTTAAGTATAAAATTGAACTATTCATGTTTTAAATTTTGCAAAAATATTATCCTAGCTGTATAGCATTTTAAGATTGTCTTAAGACGATCACACTGTAGCGATACGAATATCAATTTATTGCAATGTAAAAAAAGAAGTGGAAAAGGAACTGATCGATAAGACAGTTCATTGCGTTCCGATATTTATTGTTCGTAATGAAAATCTATAATTCATGTCATATATCTACTATCACTCTGGAATTTCAGTACTGAAATAATGAATATTGGAATACACGTATAATCGCATCTTGTATTTTCTAAATGTTTGTCTTAAATTCATCTTCAAATGCCATACGGTTTACTTCCATTGATTACCTGAAGATGAACTTATAAGACAATTTTAAATATAAGATTCGATTGTAAATTATAAATACTAAATTCACACACACACACACACACACACACACATATATATAACATATACAGGGTGTCTCAGAACTTTGGCACACGGGCTTCGTAGGGATATAGAGCTAAGTGAGAGGAACAAAAAAGTCCTGTGCCATAATGTGAAAATCGTAATAGTTTTTTAATTATAACAACGCAAAGTTAGGCGTTTTCCACGCCCAGCGTGGCTCTGCGTAACCGTCTCGCGGCATTAAAGCGTCAAGACGCCATTGCGACAGTCAGCGCGAGACGCGTTATCGCTTAGCTCCTATACGCTTGTACACAGCTTGCCGCGGAGCGTCTATAGGCCGCGCTGGGCGTGGAAAATGCCTAATTTTGCGCTGTATAATTAAAAAACTATTACGATTTTCACATTATGATACAGGACTTTTTGTTCCTCTCACTTAGCCCTATGTCCCTACGGAGCCCGTGTGCCAAAGTTCTGAGATACCCTGTATATAGGTATGCACGTACACGTTCACATAACGTTCACATAATGTTATCGTCTTC